AAAGGGTAGCGCAGACAGGGAAGGTGTGGCAGGCTCTCCAGGAACCCCGTCCCTACAGGGATGTGTGAGCCTTTGGGAGCAGCTGTCTGAGGCTGGGGGAGGCGCCCCCTCCAGCCCAGGGGGAGGACAGAGCTTGGGGAGATGGCAGGAAGGGGTGCCTGTGGGGAGAGGGGTCCAGGCCTCCTTCGTTAGGACTGACTTGCCGTTTGCTCAGCCCTGAGTCAGCTCACCCGTTGCAGGGGAGGAGGCGCCCGTGTTGCAGGCTAGCTTCCCGAACTCGCGCTCTCGGACAGAAGTGGCTCCTTCTAAGCTCTCTGAGGCCTTGGGTGCCTTTTCCTGCTTGGAGCTCTTTTGTACCTGTTTGTTTTTAAGCTTATCTAGCGGCACGCCTGTTAACGGAGCTGAAATGTTTCTTAAAGTGCTTGAAAGCCAGCCAAAGGGGAAACCCCGGGTGACTCGGGCCCCGCTCTGCCCTCCTCTGCCCAGGCCCCCCCAGCGAGCCCACCCACCTGGCGGTGGAGGACATCTCCGACACCACAGTGTCCCTCAAGTGGAGGCCCCCGGAGCGCGAGGGAGCCGGAGGCCTGGATGGCTACAGTGTGGAGTACTGCCAGGAGGGCGGTGAGTGTCGCTGCCCAGCCTGGGCCCGCAGCCTGTGCCCTTCTCTGAACAGCCCTGCCGGGCACCTGCCACCTGCAGCGGCAGCCCCGACAGCCACCAGAGGCAGGCAGCAGGGTGGTGTCGATGCTGACACTGCCCGTGGTTTTGCAACCCCCCCAGGCTCCGAGTGGGTGGCTGCCCTGCAGGGGCTGACAGAGCGCACCTCGATGCTGGTGAAGGACCTGCCCACGGGGGCCCGGCTGCTCTTCCGGGTGCGGGCACACAATGTGGCCGGGCCTGGAGCCCCCGCCACCACCAAGGAGCCCGTGACGGTGCAGGAGATCCTGCGTGAGTGCCCCTTTGGTCACAGAGCCTGCCACTGACACCTGGCCCTGGGCCCCTGGAGGTGGGGACGGTCAGACGGGCCCTCCTGGGGGAGGAGCTGCCTGCTGGGCAGGGACTGGAGGGGCAGGAGCCTTCATCCAGGCCCCAGGCCCAGGGCAAACCTGGGCAGAAAGTGTCCTCTTGGTTTCCCCTGTCAGCCCCTGTCTGGGGCAGGGAAAGCACGGGTTATTGTGCATCCGCTGCCCCGTGAGTCTCGGCTCCAGCAGGTAGATCTTGTCCTTGTGCTCAGGACTGAGCAGTGATGCCACTTGGGGTCAAGCTGACCCATCTGGGCCTCGCTTCCTAACAAAGGATCAACCGTGTGTAAGGACTGGTTCTCAGGGTGGAAAGAGACAGCAAACTGGGTGGTAATAGGGTCCAAAAGCCTAGATTTGCATCCTGGCCTGTGTGACCTCAAACAAGTTGCACACCCTCTCTGATCCCTGCCTCCTGAGCAGTGTGGTGAGGCTCAGGGGGAAGCAGGCGCTTTGTGAACCCTTTGGGGCTGGGTTAGGGGGAGCTATAGGAGAGGATGCCTAGGGAGCAGCGCTTTTTTAGCTGCAGCTCTCTGGGCCCTGCCTCAGGAGAGAATGGAGCCATGGCACCCCTCAGGCCTTGGGCCGGGGGTGGCTCTCGCTGAGCTGCCCACTCCACACCCACAGAGCGGCCACGGCTCCAGCTGCCCAGGCACCTACGCCAGACCATCCAGAGGAGGGTCGGGGAGCCTGTGAACCTCCTCATTCCTTTCCAGGTAGGGTTGGCCCCTTCTCTGTCCTGTTGTGTGTGGCTCATGCCTCGCAGACAGATGTGCCTCGGAGCTCACCCGAGACCCCACCCGGGCACGTGAGGCTGGGGGTGGCCGGCTCTCAGGGAGAGCCAGGCTTGGGGGTGAGCTGTCCCTCCCCACAGGGCAAGCCCCGGCCTCAGGTGACCTGGACCAAAGAGGGGCAGCCATTGGCGGGCGAGGAGGTGAGCATCCGCAACAGCCCCACGGACACGATCCTCTTCATCCGGGCCGCTCGCCGCGCCCACTCCGGCACCTACCAGGTGACGCTGCGCATCGAGAACATGGAGGATAAGGCGACGCTGGTCCTGCAGATCGTTGGTGTGTGGCCCTGGGGCCTCCCTCTAGCCCGTTGGCTTCCAGTCCCCGAGCTGGGCCGCCAGGCCCCGGCTGCGGGGTGATGGGCCCTGGAGCAGGGTGTGGGGTTCCACCGGGTCTGTCTCCTGCAGACAAGCCAAGTCCTCCCCAGGACATCCGGGTCACAGAGGCGTGGGGCTTCAATGTGGCTCTGGAGTGGAAGCCACCCCAAGACGATGGCAACACCGAGATCTCGGGGTACACGGTACAGAAAGCAGACAAGAAGACCATGGTGAGCCTGGGCCCCCCGACATGCACCCCTCCTGGGGCCTGGCAGGCCCAGGTCTCAGCTGCATTCCCCTGCCCTGAGAATGGGCCGCCTCTCACCCTCCGTGACCTGGTCTCCGCACAGCTGGGGTGCAGACACCAGGGGTACCGAGAGGCCCCTGGTAGGAAGCAGGGCCTGCCCCCAGACCCCAGCCCCAGCCCCAGAGACCCCTTCTCCACCCCGCAGGAGTGGTTCACGGTCCTGGAGCATTACCGCCGCACCCACTGTGTGGTGTCCGAGCTCATCATCGGCAACGGCTACTACTTCCGGGTCTTCAGCCACAACATGGTGGGGCCCAGTGACAAAGCCGCCACCACCAAGGAGCCCGTCTTCATCCCCAGACCAGGTGCTGGGCCCTCACGCCCACCCCCGGGGGCGCTGGGGCAGGCAGCCAGTGGGCACAGGGAGGGAGCCTGGCTGCGTGCGGCCCTCTTGGTACAAAACCCTGTCACCGCCAGGCATCACATATGAGCCGCCCGACTACAAGGCCATGGACTTCTCCGAGGCCCCAAGCTTCACCCACCCCCTGGTGAACCGCTCGGTCATCGCCGGCTACAATGCCACTCTCTGCTGTGCCGTCCGAGGCAGCCCCAAGGTAGGGAACCCAGGCCCAGGCGGCAGAGCTCCGGCCTCGAGCTGTCCCCTTCTCTCTGCGTCTCCCTGAGCAGGGCCTGGCACGCCCCGTCGGCTCTCCGTTCCCAGCCTTGGACAGAGTTTGGGACTCCAGTGGGAGCCCCCGGAGTAGAAACACAAATGCCCATCTCCCTCCATCCCCGCCAGGTCCTCTCCACCTGAGTCCCCCTCCTTCCCACTGTCTGGTTTATAGCCCAAGATTTCCTGGCTCAAGAACGGCCTGGACCTGGGAGGAGACGCCCGCTTCCGCATGTTCAGCAAGCAGGGCGTGCTGACCCTGGAGATCAGAAAGCCCTGCCCCTTCGACGGGGGTGTCTACGTCTGCAGGGCCACCAACCTGCAAGGCGAGGCACAGTGTGAGTGCCGCCTGGAGGTGCGAGGTGAGGAGCCCGCCGGGTCAGGGCCTGGGTGGAAGAGCGGGCGGGGCCCCAGCTGCTCTGCCTAGAAGAGCAGTGGTCGCCACGTCCGCTGCTCCCAGCCTCTGGGAGGACGGGTGGTGCCGGAAGGTGCAGCCCACAGCACAGCCTCCTTCTCTGCAGTGCCTCAGTGACCAGGCTGCCTCCTCGGGGACGGCCAGGTATGTGCTCGGAACCACCCCGGGCCCAAATCAGCCTTGGCCCTTGGTGCAGGGCCACAGCCCTTGGAAATGGGGTGCAGGTGGCTCTTAGTCCAGCTCACTCACAAGGGAATCTGTGTCAGAGGTGCCACCGGATGCCAGCCGTGTGCCAGGAGCCTGAGGGGAGCTGGACAAGCCTCCTCCGGCTGCTGGACACGTGTGCGCGGTGTGACCGGGCCGGCCGGAGCATCGCAGGCTGCAGAGGGGTGATGAGCAGGCGTGGGGACTGTGCAGACTGACCCTTCGGAGCTCCCGCTGAAGCTCTCCGATCGTGGGGGCGAAGAGCGAGTGAGCTCGGGAAATGATGGCTGCGGACGTCTTTCTGGCCTGCCGCTCTCCCGGGGGGTACGGGCAATAAAGATCAGTGCAGCACAGAGACCTGGCTCGTCCTGTCCCACGGGTTTCACACAGGCACAGGGAGACTTGGTTGGTCTTCAGAGCAAACTGAAGGCAGACGGTTAAATGAGGCCCAGAGCGGAGCCCGAAACTCAGAAAACATGAGTCCTGGGAGGAAGCTGTCTCCCCCCACTGCACGGTCTTCAAAGGAGGAAACGGAGGATCAGTGATAGAGAACGTGCCTCAACACAGAGCCAGCACACCCGGCTCCTGCCCGCTCGCACGTGCTCAGTACTGTCTTCGCCCTGGTGGCCACGGTCACAGCAGCCGGGGCCTGGGCAGTGCTGCGGTTCTGTGCCCATAAAGCCTGGGGGCTGCTGTGGGGTCTCGGTGGGCAACAAGCCCACGGCCTACGCACACCTGGATCCCACGGCGGGGAGCCCACACCTGACCATCCGTTTCCCTTTGGAAGGAGGAAGCCAGCAGGTCTCAGAGGTGCCCTGACAGTGTGGTGTAGAGGGTCCTTCCTGCCAGGGAGGGTGAGGTTTCCCCATGGCAGAGAAAACAACTCCCTGACGGCCGGGCCCAGGGTCACTTCTCCGAGTTCCACCCACCCCGACACTCCTGGCCCACCCGTGTCTGTGCAGCTCCAGGTCCCGGCCAAGGGACAGCACTAGGGATCACACCTGGAAGGAACACCCAGAGCTGGGGCCCTGTGCGGGTTTTTCCTTCACAGCCAAGTTCATCTCTGCTCAGGCGTCAGCCAGTTGGGCTGCCCCATCTAGTGGCCAATTCCGAGCACAGCAGCCCTCTGGGGGCCCTAACAGGACCCAGGGGGCCCAGGGAGCGCAGGGCGGAGCTGGCTGGGCCGGCAGGTGGGAGGCTGGGCTTCAGCGCCAGAGCTCAGGTGGGCGTGACCTCATCTCCCGCTCCCTTCAGACCAGAGGTGCCTTTGTAGAGTCTAGGCCAGCCTTCCTCAGGCCCAGGCGAGAGGAAGCATCATTTAGTGCCAGGAGCCCACGGAGAGTTAAGGACATTTATTTCACATTCACACATCTGTACATTTTCTATAAATAATGTGGAGCTGAAATAAATATGTACAGTCATCTCTTGCCCACTCCCAGGCCCTCTCTCCCTTCTGGCACCCGGTGCCAGGAGACGCGCCTGCAGACACGGGTGTGTCTACCGAACGTGGCCTTTGCCCACCCCTTCCGGTTCCTGGGAGTCTCCTGGCCCCAACCAGTCTGCTCTCCTCTGCCTCAGGCCAGGCAGACCCCAGGGGAAGAGCTGCTCCGCTGAGTGGTGGAGGCCATGGTGACAGCAGCAAGGCTGTGTGTGGCCCACGGGCGGGCGGTGGTGGCTGCCAGCTTAGGAAATGCGTCAGGAAGCAGGGAGGTTGCCACTCACTCTGCTGCCCCGGGCCTCTCCCTCCTCTCGCCGCCCACCCCGCTCAGGAAGCCTGAAGCTTCCCTCACTACTCCCCAGAGGGGGCTGTTCCAGGCGCCCGGCTGTGCTGGATCACAGAGTCCTGCACAGGGAGGTCACAATGCCAAGGACACGGAGCCACAGCACAAATGTCTCAAGGGCATGCAGGCGTGGACTCACACTGGCCTGTGCCAAAGAGTTCTTAGAAGCCACTGGCCCAACAGACACAGACACAGACACACACACACACACTCACACACACTCACACACTCACACTCACACTCACACACCGAGCCCTGAGGGAACAGTAGGCTGGTCTTCTGGGAGTGAAGAGGGAGAAGGCGGAAGAGGCTAGCTCAGCCCTGTGATGAACACACTAAGACACACCAACAGACACATAACTGGGAACCACCTAAGCCACGCGAGGGGCTTGCAGAGAACGTGCGTCATCCGCATCTGGTCTTAGCAGCATCATGCACTGGGGAACAGCAAGAGGCAAGAGGCCAGGGCGCCCCTGGGCTGGGGCAGCCGTCACCCTCCATCAGCTGGAGACAGGCCGGGGTGGGGTTCGGAGGTCGTCCTCACTGCTGCGGACCGCAGCCACATACGAGAAGAGACACAACACTGAGTAGCAGATCTCGTGGGCCTAGACGGGGAGAAAACCAGGCGGATCAACACCCCTGAGACCTCACCTCTTCACACGGAGCTCTGCCAGGGAAACGCGTGCCTCGCCCTGGGCTCGGGCCTCAGCCAGGCCTCAGAGCTGGCCGGTGGGAGAGGGGATCAGTGTGCGTCTCTCCCCCAGGGCTGAAGACCTGTCAGCCTCAGCTGAACCTCCGGCATCCGGACCAAATTCGCCTCTCAGGTCACTCCTATCACCCCTCACCCTGTGCTCGCAGAGCCCCCGTTCTGTCCGAAGCCCTGTGCAGACTGGCCTGTCAGGGTTGATGGCACACTCACCATGGGTGTCTTGTACTTGTGGCTCACCACTTCTTTAATTTCAGGAACTAAAACCGGACGGGCAAGAAACAAAACAGAAAGTTCAAAACTAAGAGTAGTGCCGAGCTCCCCCAGGCGGCGGCGCCCGGCACAGGGCCCTTCCCTCCGGGCTGCTCCTAGGGCTGCAGCTCCGGCTACGGCAGCGTCTGTCCAGCCCCTGCAGGAGGAGAGGACACGTCCCCAGACACCGCCCTGAGGTCTGCATGGCTCCTTGCTGGTGGCCGCGACTCTACCCACTTCTCTGGGAGCCCCAGCACGGCAGCGGGTTAATCTTTCACCAGCCTGGTCCCTGCTGCTGTCCAGGGCCCCTGAGAAGCACAGGAGGGTGGAATACCCCCAGTCGGGCTGGGAGAAGAGAGCTGCATCCCTGTCACCAGCCGAAACTCGGGTCCTGTTACGCACAGTCCCCTGTACTCCCAGCCCCGACACAGAGCGTCCTGAGGCTGGATGAGGCGTGTTGACACTAAACCCACCAGACGTGTACGTTTCCTTTCCTGAGTGGCAGGAGAGGCCAGGCCGCCTGTGTGAGGGAGAGCGTCAGAGGGCTCTGGAGCAGACACACTGAGCAGGAGAGGCAGGCGAGCACAGCACCCGGGAGGGAGGTGACGGGAGGCATCAGGCAAGGTACACACGTCCACAGCCCCAAATGCCAGACTCAGAGTCGCCCCTGCCCCAGCCATGCAGGGTTCTGCTTGGCCAGGGGAAGGAGTAAGGCACAGGCGCAGCCATCATCATGGCCCCTGAAGTTGGGAGAAGCCGGGCATGACGTCCCCTGGGGACCAGAAAGGTAGGATGAGAGTTGGCCACACCTCCTGGCCCTGGGAGATGAATTCAGGGACCCAGGGTCACCAGGGAATAAACCCATCAAAGGTGGAGCAAGAAGCGCGGGTCCTCTCCTGAGTCGGAAGATTCCCCCAAATCTCTCTCTGGCAGAAGAGAGGGAGTACACGGGGGGTGGGGGGACCTCAGAACCAGTGAGCCAGCACGGGTGGGGGGAGGCTGGGAAGGAAGAGGGTGGGGAGAGAAGACGGACTGGCGATGTGAGCAGCTGCCTTTGTTGAAGGGAGCCCACCCCACCCACCGCAGGGCCCCAGGTGGAGCCTGGGGGGAGGCAGCAGAGCGGGCCACGTTACCTGCTGGAGAACGAAGGTTTTCATAGCAGCGATGAGGGGCACAAAAGAATGAAGCACAAACACAGCAGGAACTCAAAGCCCCAGGGTGAGAACCCCTGCACTACAGGTCCGCTCGGCCTGGGGGAGGCTGGCTCCTGGCTTCCAGCTCCAGCTGCCCCGTCTGCCTCTGGGGTCCACTAGGCTTCTCTGCCTTCTAGAGTGAGTCTGCCTGGGCCACCACTTGCCCCTCTTCTAGCACAGGGGCTGGGCAGACGCCGGAGAGGCACTGGGTGCGTGGATGGCACCCTGGGCTACTAGGAGGCTCGCAGCAGGTGGTGTGACCTAGCAGGCGTGGGGATGGCCTGACTGCTCTGCCCCAGAACTTTCTGACCACTGGCTGGCAACTGAGGGAACCTGGTGCCAGTGCACGGAGCCCCTGCAGTGCCACCTCCAAACGCTAACCCGGCTAAGGCCACGTGCTCTCTGGGACCCACTCCCTAGCCGCCACTGTCTCTTTTCCTCCTCCCCTCTGTCCTCTCGGGGCTCTTCTCTTCCCTACCACGCCTGCCCTCCAGGCCTCTCTGCAGAGGTTCTCTGCCTCTAGGCCTCCTCTGGAGCTCCGAGGTTTGAGTTACTGCCATGTGAGTCCAGACCTAAGAGCAAAATAGTGTAATTACCAAATTCCTCCAGGACAAAGACGCCTCGAACTGTATTGCACTTTTTAATGTGATTCAGCTCTATGAAAACCTGAAAGAGAGGGAGGAGGGGGTAAGGCCCAGAGGCTCCCCTGCCCACAAGCCCCCTCTCACCGCTACAGCCCCTCCCCCACACAGAAAACCTAGTTCCCAAGGGAGGACAGAAGAACACACACACACACACACACATACACGCACACACACACACACATACACACACGACTCAAAAGCGCTAAGAAGCGAAGATAGCAGAAAGGGCATGTACCTTCCGCTCCTGGCCGGAGGAGAAAGCATGGGAGAGAAATGAAGGCGTTAGTTTTAATGGTCAAACCCACCCAAAGGTCCCTCTGCTGGCTTGGGCTGCCCGCCCGGACCCTGTGTCCAGGGCAGCATTTGTGGGACACTGTGCCCCAGGGGTCCCCCCACTTAGCCCATCAGCTCTCTACCCTTCCATGCATCCTCCTCCGGCGCAGAGGGCTGGCACGGGCGCAAAGCTCCCCTCAGACTGTCCTCAGGGTGAGGCGCTGCTATCTTCCTTGGAACAGGATCCAGGCTCTCCCAAGAAGCACGAGGTGATGACAACAACAGCTACCACTCATGAGCACCTACTGGGAGCTCTGCCAATGCTACGTGCAATCCTTCCATCTATGAGGCACAGCACAGAGGTCCACCCTCACTTCACAGAGGAGGACCTGGGGGTCACACAGTTTACTTGCCCGTGAATAACAAAGTTGGGCTCCGAATCCAAGTCAGTCCTGACTCCAAAGACCATGCTTTTGCCATTTGTTTGCCCCAACTATGTCACTCCCCTGGAGGGTCCCAGGCTCCTCAACCCCAGCTGACGGCTCTGTGGCCCTTATCTCACTGTCAGTCAGGCTCGGATCCCCCCTCCCTGTAGGATCTCTCTCTTCGGGGCAAAGCCTTAAACTCCAGACCAGCTCAGACGTGCTTTGTAACAGTTAGACGTTAGGTCCGTCCGAAGGGGCCATATACCGAGGGTGGGACCCGGTGAGGGCATCTGGGTGTTGAGATCCTGTCTTCAGAAGGTGAGGCATTGGTGGAGGCCACAGCACTAAAATGTGGTTAAGAAGCCTGCTCCCCAAGAAGCGTCAGCACCTTCAGGGTCCAGACAAGTACTTGGGTACCACTGACAACATTACTGTTACCACTAATCAATATACTAAGGAAAACACTGCCATCGCACCAAAGCTGCCCAGCTAGACTCCTGAAGGAGAACTAGCGCGGCAAGCAGAGGGAGGAGGCACGGACTCTAGATGTTCCCCTCCTGGTATCTGCTGCCTGGCCAGGGCTGTGGCTCCCACACTCGGATCTGGCTCTGAGCCTCAGGAGAGGAACAGGGAAGGGGGAGGGGAGGCACTTGGTGAAGAGTCAGAACTGGGAACAGACCTGGGATGATGTGCTGGCCTCAGAAAGGAATTAGCTTAAGGGATGTCCACAGAGAAAAAAAGTAACATTGTGTTAAGGACCAGGAGAAAGAAGCAAGTCAGCTCCTACTGTGGAATCACAGTGAGGGAGAGACGGATCCTGAGGTGTCCCAGTCAAAAGAAGGGGGTGGGCCTGTGAGGCAGGGGCAGAACCGACACTTGGAGGGAGGAAAAGAGTAGGAAGAAGAATCAGCAGGAGAAAAAGCAAACACACGCCAATAGGATAGAGACAAGCTACTCACACACTCACACACAAACTACGCACACCAGACACACATGAGCGAGATCAGCTGGTCTAGACTCTCAAAGCAAAACCACCAAGCAGAAGCGTACCCTGGGCACAGGGAAGGCAGACGCTGCAAAGGGCCAAGTGAGACGCTCCCACTCACACTGTGCTGTCTCGTGAGTCTGACGACGAGGCGCCCTCTCTTCCCGGGTCTCCCACAGAACCGCCCTGCTGCACCTCCAAGGGGCTGTCAGCGTCTCATGCCCTCCTCTCTGATCTGTCCCCGGTCCAGCTGCTCCAGCTCTCCCACTAGCCCCTGAGGCCCTCTCTCACGCTCACTGGGAAAGCCCTGGGGACCCTGACACTGATCCTAATGCAGATGGAACAAGGGCCAGGAAGCCTTGGGCTGCCACTTGCACCTACCTGGTTGTGCATGAACTTGAGATTGATCCCTTCTAGGGTGACCTGCAGCAAGCCACCCTCACCAGTCTTCATGTCCTGCACGGGGAACTCGCCACCTAGTTCAGGCCCTGCGGTGAGGGAGCAGGTGGTCAGCCCGCTGGGGGACAGGGAGTCCCTAGCCTGACTTCCTTGCCAGGCCTCTGACACGAGCGAAGGCTGATGAACATGCACGGGGCACGCGCTCAGGGAGCTCTCTCCTCACCAGGTTTGATGCTCTGCTGCCGGGCGGCGGCACGCTCCATGCTGTCCTTCACGCAGTAGTACAGCTCCCGACACTGCGGCACCGGGAGAGAGCCATGTCACTCAAGCCTTCCAGGGCTCCCGCCCTCGACTCCGCAGGGGCTGCTGAGGCCTGGGCCGCTGCCCGGACCTCAGGACAGCTTCACGAATCCCACACAGCAGCCAGAGGCAAAAGTGGGGCTCTAGCCGTGGAGTTTGGAATTTTAACTCCCATACAAGAAACTCAACACTTTGCCCTCAACGCCCACCCCCAACCCACAGAGCCCATGGGCACCTTCTTTGTGTAGAACTTGTTGAGCTGGGTCTCCGAGCCGTTTCTGCGCCACAAGCACAGCACCTTGGTCTTGGGGCAGTATGTCATGTTGATGAGCTTCTCGTACCACCAGCGCTCGTACACCGTCCCAATGTTGCTGCGCAGCACCACGCAGTCATCACACACCTGGAGGGGCCCAGAGCGGGGTCAGCGCTCCTGGCCCGGCGGGGCCCGCGCATCCCAGGCCACACGACACTGTTGGGACAACTGGTTCTGGGGGCATCCCCAGGCTCAGGGTCTCTGACTTATGCTCATTGTCTTCTTTAGATGGAGACACAAACCCTGAACTGCTGGACACTTTGTACGTTGGAAAGTTTATTGAAAGAAAAGGAATCTGTAAGCACTTTTCTTTTTAAAAACGTGTAATTTTTTTTTTTTTTTGAGAGAGGAAGGGAGAGGGAGAGAGAGATAGAAACATCAATGATGAGAGAATCACTGATCATCTGCCTCTTGCACCCCCGACTGGGGATCGAGTCCGCAACCCGGGCATGTGCCCTGACCAGGAATTGAACCGTGACCTCCTGGTTCATAGGTCGACACTCAACCACTGAGCCACGCCAGCCAGGCTCACTTTTCACTCCCATCAATGTTCATTACCTCTTACACGTTCTGGATTTAAAGTACTCAGCGGACAGCTCATGCCTCCACCTTATAACCTGAGGAGTGCCTCTGTTGATAAGCACAAAGGCAGGGGATCACGGCAGGCTTAATCAAGGAGAAAAAATGGAATCAACACATTTCTAATCTTGGCTTGGCCCTAGTTGTGCATAAATCTTAAAAAAACACAAAACTTTTTATTGATTTTTTTTTTTTTTAGAGAGACAGAGGAAGGAAGAGGGAAAGAGAGAAACACGGATGTGAGAGTGAAACATTGGCTGCCTCCTGCATGCCCTCTACCGGGGATCAAGCGCATAACCTGGGCATGTGCCCTGACCTGTAATCTTTCGGTACATGGGACGACACTCAACCAACTGAGCCACACCGGCCAGGGCTCTGCATAAGTCTTTACAAAAATTAACTCACAAGTGACACATGGATAATACTTATTGCAAAAAAATTATACATACAGGATGATAAAAATTAAAAAGCAAAGTCTTTCTTCACATCCTCTTCTTGCTCAACAGTCTCCATGGGGCAAAGGTATTATGGGAGACATCACAGCACAGTGGCTAAGAGCAGAGCTAAGCGCAGACTGCCTGGGTGAGGTTCCACTGTCCCCTTCTGCAGCTATGCCTCCTTCAGCAAATAAGCCTGCATCTACTTTTCCTCTCATGTGAGATGAGGAGAGTAATAGTAATAACTTCATGGAGTTATTGTGAAGATTAAATAACTTTGCATCAACTGCTTAGAACAAAGCCAGTCCCATAGAAAGTACCCTAGTGTTAGCTGCTATAACAACAATTATGATAGAAGCAATATAATAATTATGATGATCATGTGGATGGCTCTCAAATCTTTCTCCATATGAGACCTATCTTCCTGAGTTCCTGACCTCCCTCTATCTGGATGTCTCACAGGGAGCACCTCAAATTCATCTCCAATCTCCACTCAACATCTCCACCTGGGCAGATCCTCCTTCTAAGTCCCCTGTATGAGTAATGGCATCACCATCCACCAAGTGCCCACGCCAGATGTGCAGGAGTCATGCAAGGCTCCTTCCTTTCCCTCTCTCTACACCACTGAGTCCCGTTCCATTCGACCTCAAATGTCCCTGGAACACTCCCCCACTCCAACCATTAACCCCTGCTCTTCAGATCTAAGCTCAAAGGTCATTTCTGAGGGGTCCTCCATGACTCCTAGGCCCTCTGCTATGCATTCCCATAACACCTGCCTTGAACATCTTCTCTCATAATGCTCATCGCACTTTATGACACAGCTTATTTCATTATCTGACGTCCGAAAGGGCTTGTCAACTCTGCAAGGGCAGCAGAAACCACGTCTCCCTTATTCACTGCTGAAAGCCCAAGTCCAGCAGAGTGCCTACGATATAATGCGTGCTCCATAAACATGAGGTGAGTAAATAAGGAGCATACAAGACTACCAGATTTAATTGATTACCTAAGAGTTTACTGGGCTCCTAAAAGCCTTATGAAGAAAAGGTCCAAAGTAGCTGAGTAAGAGTCAGAAACCTGGGTTCTACCCCAGTCTAACTCAGTTTTTTTCCATGTGGAAAATGGACAATACTGTTCCATTCTCCATAATCCTTGAAGAACATCTTGTAAAGGAGAGGGGCAAGTATTTAGGAGAACACCTAATTTCTAGCCTAGGGAGATGATGGTAATAATATGTCATACTCGCCTATGCCGCTGGTGTAGGTGCAAACTGGCATAGTTTTAGGAATGGCAACTTGGCAGAATCTATCAAAATTTTAAATGTATATAACCTTGATTCAGAAATTTCACACTAAGAATCGATCTTATAGGAATTATCTTTTTTTAAACTTTTTTAAAGAATAGTTTGATTTTAAGTGAGAAAGGAAGAAGAGAGAAACATATATGTGAGAGCATAACATGGGTTGGCTGCCTCCTATATGCCCCCTATCGGGGATCAAGCACACAACCCAGGCACGTGCCCTGACCAGGAATTGAACCAGCAACCTTTCAGTGCATGGGATGATGCCCAATCCACTGAGCCACCGGCCAGGGCTATCCTATAGAAATTGTTATGTGAGTGTGCAGAGATACATATTCAAGGATATTCAATGAAGCATTGTTTAAAAAAAAATAGGTGGAGCCTGGCTGGTGTGGCTCTGTTGGTTGGAGCGTTGTCTAGTACATCAAAAGGTTCTGGAAATTCTTAGATAAACCTACACATGTATGAAATGAAGCAGGCACAGCATCATTCATAGTAGGTTATTAGCAACAGCAAAAATCTGGAAGAAAACCAAGGGTACACATATACCAACTGGTTAAATGAACTACGGTACAGCCACACAGTGAAATACTATGCAGCTATGGAAAGAATGAAAAAGCTCTTTTTTTTAAAAACTGATGTTGAAGGTCTCCAGGATATGTTTAATGAAAAAAGGTACAGATCAGGGATAGATACAATGTGCTAAGAAAGGAGAAAAATAAGAATTTATGTTCAGATTTTATTGTGTTTGTGTAAAAAAAGTGGAAGATACAAAGGGAACCAATAAAAGTGGTTACTTATAAGAGCAAGGGGGAGGTGGATATAGATAAGAATGAGAGCAAGGCTTCCCAATGTATGTATTATTTTATGTTGTTCTGACTTATGGATAATGTGACTATACCATCTATTATATAAATATAAATATAAATATGTGAAAGAAATGATGGGGAATAACTATTATATTATTTGCATAAGAGCCTGACAATTTAATGCTAAATGGATCATGAAGGTGAATGAGATAAATGGTAAAATATCCTGTCATCAGTTGTAGGAGTTCCTTGTGACATTCAAATGTTCCTTTGGGCCTCTAGCATGAGCCAGCACCTACCTCCATAAAAAAGATATCTCCATTTGTGTCTGTCCCTGCATGTACCACAAAAGTCTGCTTCTTCATGTGCCGGCTACCACTGGACCGGACAGAGAGATCACGGCCATTCTGAGGAAAGAGAGATCTTTTAGGGACGTCCATACATACATCTCTCTCACAGAGTGCCAAGAATCCCCCATTCAGCAATTAAATCCATATCAGCTTTCTTAGCAGCGTGCTATCTGCTGGCCATTGGCCACCAGGGAAGTGTTCTCAAGTTGTTTGGTCTCAGCACTCCTATACCCCTTAAAAATCACTGACAACCCCCAAAAGCTTATGAATAATAAGTTGAAGCATAGTAATATAAATAACGTATTTTTGGCAAAACAATTATATTTCCCAAAACAAAAATTAGAAGGATGGCACTGCTTTCATTTTTTGCAAATCTCTTTAAAGTTTGGTTTAATAAAAAAATAGCTGGATCCTCATATCTGCTTCTGCATTCAATCTGTTGTGATATATTGCTTAGATGAAGACATACAGAGAAAACCTGGCCTCACAGATATATATTTGGAAAGGGGAGGAGTATTTTGATAGCCTTCCCAGATAAATATGCACATCCTTCTTTGATACTGTACCAAAACTTGAGAAGTAGCAATTTCTAAAAAACTTGGTTGCAATGTGGAATTGAAAACACATCAGTGAACAGTCTGTACTTTGTTAAAAATCCATTTTTCTGCCTCACATTTTGAGGATCTTAATAAGGGATCTGCTCTGCTCTTTTACCTATACTTGAGTTTGTAACATCACACATTAGTCATTTGTAAAATACTGGTTCATCAAGTTATGCAGTTCTTCTGAATGTTGACATATTTCATAATATCAAATATCCACACTTATTAACATCATCATCAATCACAATTGAAAAGTGTTTAAATATCCGGAAGCTTCACGTTTAAGTGCCAGACCCAACACTGAATAACCATAGTTTGTTAGCCATTCTTCCGAGTAAAATGATGTCCCATGAACAATGCTGCCAGTTCACCTTGCAACTCAAACGGTCACAACTGCTTTTCCTTGAAACGATCATATTTTGGCTTACAGTAGAAATATTTTATGCAAATGTCTCATTTTGTCACACAGAATATTACAAAGACATATAATCAAGGATCAGATACATAAAATTAATTTTAACTGCTTTCATCAAGGACATTCTTTTGTTTTAACTGAGAATGCAATGCATGGAAGTGAGGACTACAGTGGCCACTGGCATAGTTTGGTGCCACTGCCTTCATTGTGTTAAGGCATAGTGGTTTTACCCACCATCAGTGCAAATGCCAACCAGTAAAAAAGGCAAATAACATTTTAGTATTCTTATGAAAATAGTTTTCACCTGGTGGACCCTCAGGGGTCCACGGACCACGTGTTAAATGGCTGCACTAGCCATTTAGTACAGAGAATCCTATCATAGAACAGAAAGGCTAAGGCTTCACGTAGAGTAATTCTATTTTCAAAATTGGGGACTTTGAACATATGCAAGCCTAGAAATGGCCAGTGGGAAGCCTCTGCATGAGGCCACGAGGCCCAAGCCTGGGAGGCTGGCAAGTGCCGTGGAAGGGAGCCTAAGGAACAGCCCCGAGGTGCTTACCAGGTTGGCCAGCTGATCAAGTACTTCATTGATTTGCTGGCTGTACACAAGCCCAATATGGGACTTTCCCATCAGGCGCCTCACCTTCTTCCGGATGTCATTCTTCTGTACCTGGGAAGCCAAAAGAGGATCTTTCTAAGGGATCTGCTCTGCTCTCAGCTTAGGTAGGGGGAATGCCTAGGTAAGTTTCCTGTTGTCTGCGAGAAGTGTATCTCTAACAGACCGTATCACTGAATAGGAGAGAAAACATTCCACTGTGTGTTCTGCCAGAAAAACCCGGTCTGTCTCTTGGTGGCTTTGGTAGAGAAGTGGCTTTCAGAGCAGTTCTGGTTTAAGTGACTGGGGCTTAAGGAGACACTTCTTCCCTGTCCCCAACCAATAGTGTACCATCCCTGATGGGGCTCTAAAAGCCCCCCGGGGTTCCTTAGAGTATAATTCACAAACAGTGACTTAGAGTAGCAACACTGTGTACTCACTCATAGCCAAGACACCTTAGTGCAGTGGTTGGCAAACTCATTAGTCAACAGAGCCAAATATCAAGAGTACAACGATTGAAATTTCTTTTGAGAGCCAAATTTTTTAAACTTAAACTATATAGGTATGTACATTGTTATTAACTTAATTAGGGTACTCCTAAGCTGGCCTTTGCTAAAAACGTCCTCAATCTGATTGAGGTATGTTCGCTGAGGTCGACCCCTTCCAACTCTCCCATCCACACTTGTCTTGTATACTTGTTTCGTCTATCTCCTTTCGTTCATCCTCTCTATATGTCCAAACCATCTCAACATACCTTTCTCAATCCTCGAAACTACATCTTCTTTCACTCCACAACGTTCCCTAAAATTAACTTAATAAACTTTACTTTTGTCACCCACGCGCGATTTGCGGATGCGACTAGCACTAACCACTGCACAATGAGACTGATGGCTGGCTGGCTCACTCAACTCATGCATGAATCGCACGTACCTCCCCCGCGCTGCGTATCCCATGGCCTGCCTGCGCTGCGTCTCCCATCGCCTGACCGACCGACACCCCCCACTTACTTCTTCAAAATAGACTCGCCCAGGCCAAAAACCGACTTCTGCGCATGGGCCACAAAGTTTCAATCACACTGTACACGCATCCGCATGTGGTATTTTGTGGAAGAGCCACACTCAAGGGGCCAAAGAGCCGCATGTGGCTTGCGAGCCGAGGTTTGCCGACCACTGCCTTAGGGTCAGCACCCTTTCCCAACCAGAGGTAACTGGAACCCTTACAGTTCAACAGAGTAGAGTGAGACTTACAACAGAAAATGAAACAAACTAAGAGGGCCTACCTGGAAGGCATTCTCTATATTTGATCAACCAATCCCTGCACATTTAGAGAGGCTGGGAGAACAGGGGGAGGAGAAACCCAGGGGCTCATTGTCAAAACAACTCTCTTCTACTCACTAAGTCCCTTAACTCTTCTATTTGGTAACATACTTTCCCCACAGCTATAAACACCAAGTACAGTGGGGCCTTGACTTATAAGTGTCCCGACTAACGAGTTTTTCAAGATACGAGCCATCTCTCGGCCGATTTTTTACTTTGAGTTGCGAGCTAAAATTCGGGTTACGAGCCAGCTTCAGATACCCGACCGCTAGTTGGCACAGCGAATGTCACAGTGAACGCCACAACATCAGACCAGTATCATGTGTCTCACTCGTTCACTTTAAGATTTGACATCCGAGTCATTTGAGTTACGAGCTCCGTCACGGAACGAATTAAACTCGTAAGTCAAGACCCCACTGTACAACCATGTCAAACTAGAACCTACCATTACTTTTAAAATAAGTAACCCTTTTTATATCTATGGAAAATTCTATGATAAAGGGCTAGTGCTAAAAAGTGAATCCTGAGAATCCTTTTTAAACTTTTTAGAACCAACTACTTAAAAATTTTTTGTAATTCATTGTATTCTGTGGGAAGCTCTACTGGAATCCTAAAACTATTTAGCAAAGGAACCCCATTTAAAATTCAAAGGAAACAAATGGGTTGGAATCATCAATCACCTTTGCAATCTTTCTTAGGACAACAGCCTGCCAGCTTCAGATAAATGAAGCTCGTGTGAGCTGCAGAGAGGCCTGAGACTTTCAATCAGAAAGAGAGCCCTAGTGAGATGTTCTGTCAGCTCCCCAGCTGCCCCAGAATTCACATGATGGGCATGAGCCTTGTCCTTCAGCAGCAGCCAGGCATAAGCAAAATCGACGCTACCTTCATCAGCAGCATATAGGAGATCAGGTTGTGCAAAAGCGTGGCCAGCAAACGATCTTCATCATCCTCAAGGCGTTTCCGGTCATGCTCTCCCAGTGACAGGTACCTAAGCAGGAGACCAGGGACAAGTCAGCCCTCAGGTGGGAGACCACAGAACCAACTACGAAAAGGCTGAATTTTCCCAAGGATTTCCTAAGCCTCATACCTGTCTATCATCTCCTGGGGACCCTGGTCCATACCCATCCCTTCTCTCTCCAACATCACAGCATCTAAGAATGCATCTTCCCAGAACTGCATTTGGTCCCATAACGTAGAACGCTCTTTACCTGCGTAGGATAGAGGTCTTTAGGGGCTTATACAACATTTAAAGAATATAGTTGGCAACCAAAGTAGAGTAAACTCCAGTAAACGGGAGTCATTACAAGTTCCAAAGCAAAGGAAACCTGAGCCTCTCCACCCCAGACCTAGAGCCCCACTGCCCCCGAGTGAGGCCCAATCCCCCGAGCAGGAGGGATGAACACAGCACACAAAGAAAGGTGGTTACTCATAGAAAAGGTCTCCATAGCAGCATCCTCTAACTGGTCCCACATCGATCCTTTGTCCCTTCCTGCCAGTTTGCAAGCAGGAAGGACCATGGTAGCAAGAAAGGAAAGAAAGGAAGACAGAAACACAGAGGCTATTGATTAATACCAAGATCCAGTCTCTTCTAGAAAGTTTCACCCACCGCTTCTTCCAGACCCAGTAAGTCACCTGCTTCAGACGTAAAAATGCTCTAACATTAGCATTGAGATCAGCAAAGAGCCGAGCTGCTACTTGTTCAGTGCCACCCTCCCCCCGGCTGAGTCCAGCTTCCTTCCAGTGCCAGCGACCTTCCGGTCTGTTTCTCACCTATGAGTCCCTCGTAGAGATAGACTCGCTGGCTTACGTCTTCGTAAGAGCGAACCGGGCTGCCCGCCAGCTTCTCCCTTACGCTCGGCTTCAAGCTGTGGGCTTTACCCTGCAGAGAAGAGGTAGCAGGTCAGCCACCTAAGGCACCAATGAACAGGGGCAAAGTAAACCAAGCAGCTCATTTAGAGACTCACCCACCAATCACCATCATCGACAACATATCCTCCCAGAGCCCTCCTTCTGCTACCCGGGATTGGACCAGAAGTTGATCTGATAATGCTGCTTTCTGTTACTGCCCCCTAAACATGCAATCAAGTTTTCACTCTGACTTATCTTTACTCTTAAGTCTCTATAAGACTCTGCTCTAAACACAGAAACAAAACATGCAGATCCCCTATAGCAGCATGATGCAGTAGAAAGAACACTTGGTTTGAAGTCAGCCTGAGCAAGGTTCACAGCTCTGCCTCTTACTGGCTGTGTGACCTTAGGCATGAAATTTAGCTTCTCTGAGTCTCATTTTCCACCTGAAAAAAGGAAGGTGATAATACTTACCTGATGGAACTATTATAGGAATTAAATCAGAAAATACATTAACAGTGCCTGGCAATGGTTGCTATTCGATAAATGTTAATTTTCTCTTTTCTACCATCTGAGAAATATCTGCCCCTTAGATATACCACGAACTTTTATCTGCCATTTCTGCAATATTAGATTTTATATTCATTCAAAAAAGACTTTCAACTGGGTAAGAGGTAGGTTTCATGCCCATTTCACAAAGCATACAACAGCATAAGCAGAGATGCAACTGATCACAGTTATTAGGCAAATCTAATTAGTGTGTCTAAATGCCAGCCTCCTGGTTCACAGCATAATTCCTTGTTCAATGGACCATACCAACTTACTATTAATTTATTTCCTGCTAAGACAGCCATTTTTGAGCCAAGAAATTTAGGTAACTGCTCTCAGGTATTCAACTGTATGAAGAGTCCTTGCCAACCAGCACAGAACAAGAAGAATTTGTCCCAGGAAAGTGCCAGGAAAGATAGCACACAGCTGAACGGCTTCTTGCAAGACTGCCCTCCATAACACCCAGCTTAACCTCCAGAATGGAGGTGCATTACACAGATTTAAAACGCTCTTCTTAAAATGGTCTGTTTAGACTCAGGGAGAGTTAAGGTCCACTAACCTGAATGGCCCTGCTGACTCTAGGTCAGCCGTGGGCAAACTACAGCCCGCGGGCCGGATCCGGCCCGTTTGAAATGAATAAAACTAAAAAAAAAAAAGACCGTACCCTTTTATGTAATGATGTTTACTTTGAATTTATATTAGTTCACACAAACACTCCATCTATGCTTTTGTTCCGGCCCTCCGGTCCAGTTTAAGAACCCATTGTGGCCCTCGAGTCAAAAAGTTTGCCCACCCCTGCTCTAGGTCCTATTCCTTATGTGCACTCCGGGAAGTCACTTGCTCTATTAGAAACACTTGTGCCGGAGCCATGAGGGTGGGAACGATCATTTCCATTCTCCTCACAGACAAAGACAAGGCCCTCTGAGCTCTTGTAGAGAAAGTGGTGAGTGGATCAGAGTGCCTAACATCCGCTGCCCGAAGTAGCAGTACACACTGAAAAGCAGTGTATCTAGCCTGGCCGGTGTGGCTCAGTGGTGGAGTGTCGACCCATGCACAAGGAGGTCACTGGTTTGATTCCTGGTCAGGGCACATGCCCAGATTGTGGGCTTAATCCCCAGCAGGGGGTAGGCAGGAGGCAGCTGATCGATCGATCATCGATGTCTCTCTCTCTCTCTCTCAAATCAATAAAAACATATTTTTAAAAAAGAAAAGCAGTGTTTCTAAAGACAAGGACTAAAATAATTTAATTCCAACTGATCATGGCTTATTGTGTGATTAGGGCAAGTTCTTCTTTCCCTAAGGCTTTCCGCCCCTTACCTGTCAAGAGAGATTAGTCACAGCAATACACTGAATTGCAAATTTCTTGAGAGTGAACATCATGCCTTATTTATCTGTTTTTTTTTCCAGTACAGAATTTGGCATTGAGTAAATCACTTAATAGATGTTATTAATGAAAAAAATTCAAGTAACTATTAGGAATATATTAAAAGAAATGCCATTTTAAGGTGCTATGTAAATAGAGCAGTGACCAGAATAAAACTAGACTAGTCCATGAAATAAGCTGACTGATACTAGATAAGAGCTATAACAGACGTTGCCACAAAGGTATCACTTTGCTATTTTAAACATAGGGTTTATTGCTAGATAGGACTCCAGGCCCTTATCTAACTCATCAATGATGCAGGAGAGGGTTCTAAAAGCCCCAGATCATGGAGTCGAATGACTGTTAAAGCCTTAAGAGACATTTTCTTTAAAGTCAAATAGATGAGGCTAACCATTCCTTACTTCCTCTTTTACTTCTGATTGCCTCCTAACTTTTCATTCTTTTCTACAACTCCCCTCCCCCCATGTAAAAACAGTCTCCTTTTGTTAGTAAACAAAGCTTACAAAGATGGCGCTGGTGGCAGAGTTGGTCTCAATTTCACTATCGGACAAAGTGCCCCGAGAGCTTGTCAAGCGGGTGCTTCCCTCGCCACCTGGTCCATCGCCTGCATTGCTGCTCAAGTCACTGTCGGCTCCAAGGGTCTCTCCAGAACTATTACTCACCTGGAAAGGAAACAAGGTAGTGAGGGCTATTCCCCAGGGGAGGGTCCCAGAAATGCCAAACTGAGAGCTCTCTGCTGCCATCAAGAAGTACCCCCTTTCAAAGGTGAGCCAGCGCCTCTGCAAGTACCTTCTTGACCCGAGGAGGAGAAGCCCTACGTGAAACCTCCGGGCCTGATCCCGTGTACAGACCTATGACAGGTAGGCATCTCCACCATGAGAACCAAGCTGACCTGAGACTAACCGCAGCCTCCACCGGAGCCCACCCCCACCCACCAAGATGCCAGTGTGGTGTTCCCCTACCACGGTGCTAACTTCAGAATCCTGACTGGAGCTTCGGATCAGCACAGCTGGGCTCACACCGATGACAGAGTCTGGGTCTGTCCTCTGAAACAAGACACAGGGCCTCAGACACACGAGGGGAGGTGTCCAACCTACTCCCAGTTTCCCTAAGAAATACTGTATCTTCTTCCTTCTCCCCATCCCCACCCTTCTACTATCCTTTTTCTTAATATAAAATATATATGACTTACATAATAAGAACAATAATAAACACTAAAGTAGTACATGCTCACTACAGAAAATACATGAAGGAATAAGGAAACAAAAATAAGCCAAGAACTGACCCCTTACATTAATCACTGTCAAGTCTTTAGTTTACTTCCTTTTAGTCTTTTCTATATACATTGTAAAAGTAAAATGGGAATCATACTGTATAAACCTTTGTCAACATTTTCCCATGTCACTAAATTTTTTAAAATACAGTTAACAGAGCTCTGGCTGGGCAGTTCGGTTGGTTGGAGTGTCATCCCATGCACCAAAGGGTTGTGGGTTCGATTCCTGGTCAGGGTGCGTATGGGAGGCAGCTGATCAATGTTTCTCTCTCACATCGATATCTCTCTCTCTCTCTCTCTCTCTCTCTCTCCCCCTCCCTCTTCCTCTCTCTCTCTAAAGTCAATAAACATATCCTTGGGTGAGAATTAAAATATATTTAATGGATACTAATATTATATTACATGGATATATTATACTTATGTCATCATTCCCCTATTATTGACTATTTATGTTGTTTCAAGGTTTCTTGTCTTTGGTTTTTGTTTTAACTTAAAGAAGTATTTTTTTTTTAAATATATTTTATTGATTTTTTACAGAGAGGAAGGGAGAGAGATAGAGAGTTAGAAACATCGATGGGAGAGAAACATCGATCAGCTGCCTCCCGCACATCTCCCACTGGGGATGTGCCCGCAACCCAGGCACATGCCCTTGACCGGCATCGAACCTGGGACCTTTCAGTCCGCAGGCCAACGCTCTATCCACTGAGCCAAACCGGTTTCGGCTTAAAGAAGTATTTTGAGATAGCACATCATTACGTCATTATCAATACGGGTCACACACCTGGGAACCAGATGTTAGGCTCACACCACTATCTGCGCTGATCTGGGACTTTTTCTCTTCCGTCTCGCCAAGGTCAAAGGCAGGCTTGAGTACTTCAGGCCCTGAGTAGGGGAAGACGTCTGTTACTCAGTACACAAAGGCTAGGGGCAGGCCGGGAAGGGAGTGGGGCAGCAGCGCAGCCTGGACCCCATCACCTTTCCAGGGACTGGCCCCTTGGGCCCCACTGACAGAATAGTCTCCAGATGCCTTACAACCCAAGTAGGAAAAACAAGACTTGGTCTCAAGGGGTTCTGCAGCCACCTTCTCAACCTGAGACCATTCTGAGTACATCACCCCAAAACAGAAAAGCTCCACAAACAAACGTCTAAATCACACTCCACTGCACCCAGGTGCAGCTCCACCGGGGCCTCCAGGTCACTCAGTGCTTCCCAAACCAACGTGGCCAAAGGGGCGAGAAAAGGATGGGCCCAATGAGATCAAGAAACCCCAGCTACTTCCATGGACACTGCTCACCCCCACCCTACAACTACCACATTTTAGATAAAATCCGCTTCCCTTTCCCCACCCACCCACAATGATATGGCAGAGGGACAGAATGACAGAAAGCAAGAAAGCGTGCCTCGGCAAGCCACCAGAGAGAGCTGGGAAGCTACAGACTCACACGGAGGGACAGCAACCATCTCTGCCAACTGTGCCCACAGGCCTTCTAATGGGTGAGGGAGGTATCAGCCAATGAGGGGCATGAAATAGGCAAGCGTTCTCCCCACCGACGACTCGGAAGCAATAGAGAACCACGTTCTAAGGGGCTTTACTCAGTAGACGCCTCAATTTCAGTCTGAGTGCTGCGGGGAGGGGCGGGGGACGCACCCTACGAGCCACACACCTGAGTCACATACCACCTGCCTGCTGTCCCTCCAAATACCCCCCTAGAGTAAATTTGGGGTGGGGCTGACAAAGGGAGCCTGCCCCAATGGGCCTGGGGAGTTGGCAGGTATGGGAGACTTGGGAACGGGAAGGGGGCGTTTGTTCCTTACTCTGTTTTTCCATAGCTTTTTGCTTTTTCACTTCCTGGTGCTTGTTCCACAATTCTACCCCAGATGCAATGTAAGCAGGAGAGAAAGACAGACAGAGTCAGAGGCTGGTCAGGCAGACGAAATGGAAACCCACCCACCCAAGTTGGTTCAGTCTCAGGCATAAGATTACAAACCAAGAGATAAAAAGAGATCTTCATTTGTGGGGATCAAACTCATGGAATCAAGACTCCAAATGTCTAACCCTAACCTAACGTGGCAGTAAAGAGCCTGCAGAGCCTTAGAGCTTGGAGGGCCTTTTCCCGAGCTCCTTGGTCTTGGCCAGAGGAAACGGACCCTAAAGAGGCCGAGCAGGCCCTCGAGATCATGTGACTTAGGATGAGGTTAAACTTCCACCACAGCACACTCTCTCTGCCAAATGAGCTGGGCAAAGGCACATTTTAAAGATTTCAGATGAGACAGATGACCACCTCGAGCGGCCAAAGGGATTTCAGAAGCACGAGCACCGATCTGTTTTATTCACTGGACTGAACCGAGGTCACTCATGCAAGCAGTGGGCATCCCTCCTTATTGCTACCAAAAAACCCAACTCACCCTCAGAATCAGTGCCTGTCCTGATAAGAGACCCATTCTTAGCCAGATGCCTGGGAATCCAGTAGCGGTAACAGAGACTACTGAATGTCAGGCATAGCCTCTTAGCAGGGGTAAAGAAGAGAGCAGCGACCAGAGCGACTGTTTTCCTGGAAGAACGTTAAGAGTCCACTTGGTCCAGGCCCCTCGTTTCCCAGATGAGGAGACAGAGACCCCGAGAGGGAGAGTGATTTGCCCAAAGTCACATTCCTGGTTGAGGGCAGGCCATTATTTTTCCTGAAACATCACTTCAGGCAGGAGAAAGGGCTGATTGCTGCTGGAGAAGTGTACAGCCTAAAAAGGACACTGGTTCCTCATGAGCATTATGGAAGCCTAAGGCAACTGCTAATGGTTGTGGCAAAGAGGCCTCAGTTAGAAGCACGCTGCCCGGGGACCTAGAACTGGAAAAAGAACCTAGAACCTACGTGACTTGAGTCAAACCGAGGTGACACCCAGAGAGCTCCCTAGGCTCTGCCTTAGTGGGAACTGAGAAACATGGAATGTAAACAAGTTCCAGTGAGGAAAGTTTTAAAGAAAAGCTGACTCAGAAACCTATACCCTGAGGTTCAGAACCCGTGAGAGTGGGATTGCCGGACACACCCCAGAGGAGCCAATGTGAGGGCAGTGTGATGGTTGGATTGGGGGGAAACTGGCTTTAGAGACCCAGATGATCATAATTCTATTGCCTCAAGATGCATCTATATACTTCCGTACAGCTTCCAGGAGCTCATGTGGCCTCTCCACTATGTGAAGAAATCCAGAAGCAAACAAACACAGGGACCAGGACACAGCTCAGACTCCCTGCAGGAGGCCTCCCTGGGCCCCCTAAGAAAATCTCCCATGTGAAGATGTGGGTGGGGGTGGCTGCAAATGAAGCATAAGGGATAGAGAAGTGTAAAGAATTACCATTAGAAATGGACACAGGCCTACCTCCCTCTCTAGAAAGCAAAGCATGGGAAAGAGAAAGGCAGGATTCTGGATGGATTCAGAGGAGGGAGGGATATCTAAGACACCAGAACCCCTCCAATACACCAAACACAGCGATACATACCAACAGATGCTACAAAATTCTCTTCCTTTAAACTCCTGGTATCTAGTTCCTTAGGACCCTTTCCTGTAGCACTTGGTGCCCGAGGCCCCAGCTGGGGAACTCTCAGCTGTGCCGTAGCCTTTGGGTCCCCCCGACCAGCCAGGCCAGGATCCTTGCCAACTGGTGTATGCACGCTCTCTGTTGGACTTCTCTTACGCTTGTCTGGTTCTGAGGAAAAGATCGAATATAGGAAGAGGTCATAGGAGAAAGTGGGTGCCAATCAGGGCAGGGAAGGTGCCGGGGGAAGCAGGAATACAGGAGGACGTGGAATGGAGGAAGTGCAAGGAAAGAAAAACAACATCTTATTTTTCATGACAGGAAGACGCCCACTGCACATAAACATGCCCTGGAAAATGAAATCCCAGAGCCTGGTGGGAAACAGCTTGACTCTGGGAATTTTGTCATGGGACAAGTTTCTTTCCTTCGGAGACAAGCAGGAGAGCTGTGGACGGCACGCTGCCCCGCTGGCACAACCCCTACCTTTGCTGTAGTAGTGGGTCTGAGCGATCTCCAGAAGCCCAAAGATGCTGGCCATGCCGCCCAGACCTGCATGGGTATAGGACTGCTCCAGGCTGAGCACCGTGCACTTGAGCAGGTCTAACATTCCCTTGTACACCTTTCGACTGATCTCCTGCAACAATAATCCAGGGGTTAGAGTTGGCAAAATTGCCTGTGGTGTCCACATCCTCTTCCCAGTTGATTCCAGCTCCCAGCCAACACTGACCACGTCGGGGATGAGATCTTGCCGGGCATCGTCCTCGGACTGCACCGTGCGGTTCAGCTTGCTCAGGACAAAGACCCGCAGCTGCTCGCTCTCCAGCAGCCGTCGCACCTTCTTCATGTTGAGCCAGCCGACGCCCTGGCCATCCAGCACGCTGTGCACCACCTCCTTCAGGAACTGCTGGTTCTCGCTGTGGGTTCCACAGACCACTTCTGTGGTCATCAGCTCCTTTGCAGAGCATCCCACCTTCCACCAGCCAAGTGTCCCAGTCCACTGCATCCCCCACCTCCCCATTCAGCCTGCTTTGCCCAAGTACCCACCACCGCTGCCTCACTCTCTCAGCACTTGAGCTATTACTGCTGCATGGGGAGTGAGTCAGAATGGGAGATGCTGACAATAACTTCATCCACCCAGCTGCAAGTTTCTCTCCCACTCTTGAGCATCCATAAAGTTTGGTACAGGAATCGCTACCTCTGTCCAAGAATCTTAAAGCCGCTCTGCCATTTAGTACCTAGAATTGCTGGATCGGCCCTGGGGTGACGGGGGTTCTCGCTTCACTGTTGGGCTGTGTTTAATGACAGATGACTTCTGGTCCACCAAGGCCCTCCTGTTTCCTGCAACGGGGAGGTGGAATGAGAGACATCACTAGTGTAGTCCAGGAGCCAGTGTCGGCACAGCCCTGGTAGCCATGGTCCACACCCACTCCCCAGAAGGGCTGGGCGAGGATGGCACCAGGGCGCCACACAGGGGCGGAAACCAGCCATGGCAATGTGGAGGAGGTGGGGATGGAAACTCGGGCCACTCCGCATGCACCAGCAGCACGCCCAGGGGCAAGCACGGGCCTCACGGGGGACAGGGCAGGCAGGTCAGCGTGTGATCTGCTTGCTCCATGAGGAGGATGGCCTCAGGCAGGCACAGGAGATGCTAGGAAAAAAACGATCATGCACAGCTCACGGGCAAGACCCACCTTCACCACTCCCGGGGCCGGCTTCAGTAACAATCTCCATTAGAGTATTTAGCCCAAATACTGGGACACAAAATACACAATTAGTAGGTGCGCCACAATACCACAACCCCCTAACCCTCAATGGAGCTGTAAGTCGGATAAACTGAGCATTCTCCCAAAGCTTGGTGCATAGAACCTGGGTTCTCAGGCACCTCAGAGCTGGAAGCCAAGTGACCGGGAGACAACCAAGCTCTAGGAAAGACCATCCCTAAGACTACGGCCTCTCAAAGCCAGAGGCAGGGTAAATGACACAGGAGTCTTTGGGTACTAAACAGGCACATGCTGGCTGTCATGAAACATCTAGCACAGGGTCCAGAGGGCCTGCGGGCCGCGGAGGGCAGGGACCCCCCCTGCAGATGCTGTCATGGGAAGTGGGGTGGAGGAGTGAGGATGGGGGTGACAAGTGCAGCAAATGAAGTGAAGCACCGCATGCAATGAAAGCAACTCCATTGTTCTCTTCAACTGCATCAAATGAAACACCTTTCCATCCCTCACCTACCGAGCATGGCTGAGTCCACTCAGGAGTTCCCTGCACCGCCAGCTCTGATGTCCTTTTGCCCATCTATCCTATGTTCCCATCCCTCGTCCAAAGAGCATTCCTCAGATTTCTGACAATTTTAATCACTTGGAAGAGAGGTCAGTTAAAAAAAAAATGCATGGAGCTGCTTCTCACTGTGCTTTCCACTATGATTAAAGATCAGCACAATAACCAGAGGAAACAAACAAAAGTCAGAGTAAATTCCGAAGGGCCCTCACCCTGGCGGAGATCACTAATGAAAACCAAGTGAGGTCTCAACTGCCCCTGGAAGCCAGCCAATACCACCTGGTCCATGAACTGGCCCTAAGTTGACGTGAAGCCAAAGTAAGAGGCTTTTTTACTCAATAAACACTGCCAAACTCCAAACATAAAATAACTTCACAGTGCCAGGCTCTCCACAACAACCCCCTGCTGGGCCATCGCTCTGGGACGGGGTTCATCCCGAGTTCACACAGCAGGAACGTGGCAGGTAAGTGGTGGCCCTGGATGATCCCCATGTTAATGATGGACCTCTGACAATGTTTCCCCCGAAGCAGCAGCCATCCCACAGTTGCCATTATCCTAAAGGATATAACAGGGCCTCCTCTTTAGCTACCAAGTCAGTTTCCACCTGAAAACCAGCAAGAGCCACGATGTGCAGTGAAAGCCATGAGAAGCGAGATGAGGGGCAACCACCAGATCAAGTGGCTCATCATACACAGGGCCTGACAAGCACTCATGGGCCTGAACTCGTTCTCAGAGAACCCTGGCTTGGCAAAAGGAGGGCTGCAGTTACCTTTCAGACTGGGGAAGGGCGTGGTCTTCTCCCGGGCACCTTTGGTGGGCAGTGTGAGGTTCGAAAGACTGAAGCTTGTACTGTGGTTCCGATATAGGCTGCCTATCAAGGTGTGGGGAGAGTGAGAGCAATGAGTTACGGGGATAAAGAATCAAAGCTTCATATTCTGAGGACTAGTTCATCATCTCCACCTTCCTCCTTTCCCAACAGCCCAGTGACTCTGCTCTATATTAGAAGGGGCCAAGGCTAACTTAGGGCAAACAAAGGGGCCACTGCCAAGACTGCTCAAAACCCAGTAACAACTCGCTCCGACTACCTCCCCTGACAATATCCAAGTCTCTTATCAGCTGCCTATTGGGCACGAAAGCGGCAGTTCATGTGCTTCTCGTCTGAAGTCGGTGCTGCCCCTTCCCGGCTTCTGAAAAAACTCACAATCACAATGATCCCCTATGTGGGCTTTCTCTGGTCCCGAAGCTGTCTTCAAGCCTTCTCTGACACCACCCCTCATTGCTGGAAATAATCTCTATGCAGGAAAGTCAACCTCATATAGATTTCAAAACATGTTCATGAAAAAGCCCTTCACCAGACAGAGAAGATATTAGACCAGACTATTTCCACAAAATATGTAAGTGTATAATTCTTAATCTAATGATTATTTTTCAGTTGAACCACTACCTTACCTGAAATAGGCTGAACCCTCCAGGCAGAAAGACAATGATTAACCTGTCCCTGTTCTTTATTGACCTCCCCTGCAAATACCTACTGAGTATCACCAAACAACCTGAATTGGGGCTTGCTAATGCAACCCAGCCTCTGCCGTAGCCAAGCCCTACTGGGAAGAAAATGGGACAGAGGCAGAAGAGAGCTGAAAGCACTTACTGGCAAAAGACATGATGCCCCCAAAGCTCTCGGTGCTGTTGTTGGAGATGGTGGAGGTGGGAGAGCTTGCTCGGGAGTCTGACTCTGCGTCTGAGTCGCTTGCCAGTTTCAAGCTGTTGGGCCGCAGCAGCTTTTGAGCCCTTGAATGCACAGTGGCACCTATGAGCCCCAAGGTGACCTTGGGTGTGTGAGCCTGATGCTACACTGCAGTCGCCATGCCCTTCCCATGATTCCTAAATGCTGAGGTCGCAGCAACACCCTCTGGACACGGCAGGACCACGAGGGCACTGAGACCTCTCAGGCCGATCAACCCTCGCCCACCTCCACTGCAGGGAGGTCCTGCAGTCACCCATCCAGGAGGACTCCCCGGGCTCTCACCGATTGCCACTGACATGTTGGCTGAATCGGGGAGTGTAACTTTCCCCCTGGTCATCATCATCTTCCTCAGGGGGAAGGCCATACTGGGGCTCGAAGTATGGGTTGTCAAAGGTTCGCCGGCACACTGATCCCTCTCCAGTTTCTGTCTGGCGCCTGTCCACAACCGATTTGCTGATGCTGGGAGGCACGGGAGGGAGGGGCTTGGAGATGGCTAGTGCTGCCTTATCATCCATCTCTGTTGAGTCAGCAGGTTCCTACAGTCCATATCAAATGAAAAGTAGTCACCTGGTGCCCGGTGACGCTTTCCCATAGTCTCGGTTTGGCAGGGCCTGTCAGATTCCTACCCTAAGAAATGTGTGAGAAAAGATCTCTGTAACATCCCTGTTCTCTGTCCCCACAAACTATGCAAGAGGGATTTTAGTTAATCCCTGAACAAAAACCCAGTGATCTCCTTCTGGGATCAAAACTATATCTTATAGGCTCTAAGTTGTAGGGCCTATGGTCAGGAAGATAGGAAGATGGTGAAGAAAGAAGCAAATTAAATCCACAGCTTCACTCCAGCTTTCCTAAGAGAGGTGAGGCCCACACCCCGCAGTCCTCACTTTTCCACCCCAAGTCCTCACTTACAGCACTGGCTCCGTGGATGACGGTGCTGGGGCCACTGCTGGCCGTGGTGCTGGAGCTGGAGTGCGGTGGGGGGTGTTCCTGAGCGTTCTCTCTGTGGGAGCCAGGCTCCCCGGCTTCTTTCTGGATCGGCAGCTCATCAATCTCCACCTCACTGGCATCCCCCAGCGCTGCATGCGTCAGAGGATCCACATCTGCCAAAACCCAAGGGTGCAGGTACAGACCACACCACCCCAGAAACCAAACCCTGCCCAGAGCTGGCCAAGTTCTCCAAAACACTTACTAGGTGTATCGCCATTGATGTCACACTTCATCATTTCACTAACAAAGTCACCGAGGGAGGAGTAGGAAGAGCTTGAGTCACCATAGTCCATACTATCACTGCCGCTGCAGCGTGAAGAGCGTACAATAAAAACAAAAGAGGAAAGAATCAACCAGCAGCACTGGGAGAAATAAAAAGAGGAGCACCCTTAACTCAAGGCCAGGGAACAATATGAAATAAGGACGCTAACATAAAACAATCGAGCCTGGCTGGTGTGGCTCAGCGGTGGAACGGCACCCCATGCATCAGGAGGTTGCTGGTTAGATTCCTGGTCAGGGCACATGCCTGGGTTTTGGGTGCAATCCCCAGCAACGGGTGTGCAGGAGGCAGCCAATCATGTAGATGTTTCTTATCGATGTTTCTATCTCTCTCTCCCTCTCACTTCCTCTCTCTCTAAAATCAATAAAAACCTATTAAAAAACACATAACCAATCAACCAAAATATAACCCAAGGCTTCAAATGCTGCTAACTTGTATGAGATTTTTCCATGGTGCTACGTAAGGGCCAGTGGGAGCCTCCTGACCTTGCACACTGTGTTGCTGCCATAAGGGACTGCTCACCTGTCATCAGTAGGATCAGAGTCAGAGTCACGCTCTGGGGGCACACTCAGCGCTTCAGCCAGCTGGGAATTGCTATCATAGACGCGGTAGTGGATGGGTTGCAGCTGATGAGCGTACCACTTTGGCTTGTCACCAATCAGGGCCGGATCAAACATATCTACCAGAAGAGGAAAAAGAATAGACGTAGCAAAACATAAAAGAAGGGTAGGAGCAAGTCTACAGCAAAACAGGAATGGAAGGAGCAGGCCCAAGAAAGGGAAAACGCCAAGGGAAGAGCCATCAGAAGGACAGAGGCTGAAGGTGGGGCTGCGCAGAGGGTGGGGGGACTCACTGTTGTGAATTCGCTGAAAGGCATAGTTGGTAGGGTTAAGGATCCATTCCCCAAAGTACTCCACAGCCTGAGTCCTGGCCAATTTCTCAGCAAAAGGAGTCTGCTGGGGACGCGAGGCTAGGAAGGAGCCAACTTGAAAAGCTACCACAGGCCGAGGGAAGAGGCGCAGGATACGTGTGTGCATCTGAAAGCCCTGCAGCACGTTGGGGGAGTTGAAGAAACGGACCATGGCCACTCTGGGGAAAAAGAGGAGGCAAGATATCCGAGTCCCACACCTTCCAGAGTGACGATTCCTATGATCCAAAGTCTCAGATCACCTCCCAAAGCCATCAGTTAACAGACTTCCAACATCAAGGGGGTAAGTATCTTAAAGAATCATCAATCCTCTTCTTCATTCAAGGCCTAAAATGCCTGACAGAAGGATGAACTCTTCCTTCTCTTTGCTTTTACTAAGGTGGCAAATATAACCCAGTATTACACGTTTTATATACAAAGAAACTCTTGTTGAGGGGAGTATCCTGCCCCAAGGTCACTGTGTAAGCAGAGACCAGTTTTGGAGTCGTGACTGTCTAGTCTGCTTGGTCGGTACCTGGTTGCGACATCCACAGAATCCACATCATTGCCATAGATGAGTGGGTTGAATTCCGTGGAAGGGGTGGACTGCAGGTCACTAGTAGGCTTTCCAAAGAGCAGGGGGATCTCCTGGCCCTCATGGAATTTTTCCAGATTGAGGATTGGCTGGGTGTTGAGGCTCATGCTGGCAAGGGCCTGTGGAACAACAAGAAATTCCTCATTGAAGACAGAATCCTGGGCAGCTGGCTAATCCCATCTCCTAGGAACAAGCCTTCATCCTATATAATAAAATATGCAAATCAACCGAACGGAGGAATGACTGGTCGCCATGATGCACAATGACCACCAGAGGGCAGACGCTCATCACAGGAGCTGCCCCCTGGTGGTCAGTGCGTTCCCACAGGGGGAGTGTCCCTCAGCCAAAAGCCGGGCTCATGGCTGGTGAGCCATGAGCGCAGCGAAGGTGGCAGTGGTGGTGGGAGCCTCTCCCACCTCCGCAGCAGCACTAAGGACCCCTCGGGGGATGTCCCCTGAGAGGTCCCAGACTGCCAGAGAGCGAAGGGCGGGCTGAGGGACCAACCCCCAATGCACAAATCTTGTGCACTGGGCCTCTAGTCTTTGAAATAACTGTTAGAGAAAATATTTTAACCTTTAGAAAATAATGTGCATTCTACAGATCTTCAGCTTAAGCCAACCTGGCTCAAGGCAACTCAATCAAATTCAGGGCAAGAGCTTCCAAATTTAGTTTAGCCATGAAAGCTTATTTTTTTCAATGGAAATCTATGTGGAAATATAAACAACTGAAACTTCAGCTTCTTTGAAGGACATAAGGAACCCAGAGCCTCACGTGTTTTGGCACTTGCAACCTAAATCAACCCCTAGTAGACTCCACAGGGCAGTTTGAAACCACTGGTTTAGATCGGAGAGCTCCTTAAAAGTTAATGAGCATAGGTTTCACTTGGTCATATTGTTAAAATGCAGATTCTGATTCAATAGGTTTAGGTGATTCTGCACTTCCACCAAGCCCAGGTGAGGCTAGTGCTGCTGGCCACAGACCACAGAGGTGCAGATACAGGATCAACGAGCCCAAGGACCTTAGCTCCCACAGACATGGTAAGTCCAGTTCCATCCGCAACCTCTCCATCGTATTAGGCATACTAGAGCAATCATCGAGAATGAAAATAGCAAAGGACTATAGCTCAAGAACGTTCTGAATTTGCAACCCTCACCAGACTAGACTGCAGTAACAAGGTATCATATTACATCAGCAGTGATGAGGCAAGTGAGGGGGATGATACCAAATGAGCCATCTAGGTCCAAGCAGGTAGCATCTAGAGCAGCGGTTCTCAACCTGTGGGTCGCGACCCCTTTGGCGGTCGAACGACCCTTTCACAGGGGTCACCTAAGACCATCCTGCATATCAGATATTTACATTATGATTCGTAACAGTAGCAACATTACAGTTATGAAGTAGCAACGAAAATAATTTTATGGTTGGGTCACAACATGAGGAACTGTATTTAAAGGGCCACAAGGTTGAGAACCACTGGCCTAGAGGTACTGCTATGCAGCTCAGACATCAACTAGAGAGAGTTCTTCAAGTCAGAGCAGGTATTCCTAAGACAGAGCTATCTACTGGGCCTGCGTAACACACAGCAGGCAAAGGAATGGGCTTTGTCAGGGTTTACCTTCACATCCTGTGTTCAGCAGAAGCAGCTCAATCAATGAGAAAGGCCGTTAAGGGATTACGCAAAGAAAGGAATTTTTGAAAAAAGGATGCTATAGGGACAACCTAAGGATCAATTTAAGAAGAAAACATTTAAAAATCCATTCTGTCCTAACTCCCTCCTTACAAGACTGAGAGACATCGGCCCGAGGCCATAAAGAATAGCAGATGTGCCCTGGCTGGATGGCTCAGCTAGTTGAAGGTCATACCGACCAAGGTTGCAGGTTCGATCCCTGGTCGGGGTGTGTAAGAGAGGTGACCAATCAATGTTTCTCTCTCACACTGATGTTTCTCTCTCTTTCTCTCTTCCTCTTTCTCTAAAAATCAATAAAAAAAATACCCTTGAGTAAGGATTAAAAAAAAAAAAAAAGAATAGCAGACATGACAAGAAACTGGAAGTGAAGGGTTGTTTTGTACAGCATTATAAGTATCAGAGGGTGGGAGGCCATACAATGAATAAGAAGGAATCTGAAAAGCCATTTTTTGAGGTTCACCCTGAACCCCCCTCAGAAATGGGGTACACTTCCTCTTAAGCCCACCCAAGGTGAAAAATATCTACTCTACTTGACGTCTGCAAGGAAACTGGCTCCTGCAATAGCTGTCTGCCTACAGCAGTCCTGCAGCAGCCACCACTCCCCTTCCTTTTCTTCATTCTTCACTTACCTGCTTCAGATGTTTTTTCAACTCTAATGACTCTGGTTCTGGCAGGACAGGTAGCACTTCTGCATTGGTGGGGGCAATCACCTGCACCAGAAAAAAGATAAAAGGCGTGACCCTAGAGCTGAATCCTTAGGAGTTTCTCTCACATAAGGGTAAGCAAAAAGAACAGGAAGTTGTATATACACTATATCATTTGTATGTGAATACATACATTAGATACCAACATACATGAGATATCCATCTGTACATGTGCATGATACACATACACACCTGAAAGGAATTAGACCTAAATGTTATTGATGACTATCTCTAGGTAATAGGATTATGGTTTTTATTTACTTCTTTAGACTTATTTGTATTTTCTAGTTTTTACAATGAACACATAAGGGCTTCCTACCAACGTTTATATTCACACTACAGAATGTTAATATGCATTTTTAAAAAGTCTGTACTGAAAGACAGTTTCTTAATAGAAACTATACCCCCAAGAAAACAATTAGCTGATCCACACCATATGTAATTGTCCAGCAACCACTGATCTGAGACGCGGGGGAACACTTAATTCTGGCAACACTAAATCTTGTAATTCTTGGAGTCCTAAAAAGGGTCTATTAAACCAATAAAATGAAAGCAGGATTTTAAAAAAATTGTTTCAATGAGTCACACAATAGAAATCACCACCAACTCAGGACTTTCCTGGGAGTAATCTAAAAAAAGAGGACACCACCCTATTGTAGACCCTACAAGGCCTCAGTCAAGAACCTCACCCTACTGCCGTCCAGGTCCACTAGCCATACATCGTCAGGCATTTTGAAGTCCGGTTTGTAGAGGAAGAAGCTGGCAGGGACCCCGATGATGTATGGGGTTGGGGCCAACAGCAGCTGTGGAAGAGATAAAGAGGATGAAAAAAAACCCCATTCTGATCACTTATCAAGTGAGGATTTTTCTAGATAAGGAAACAATCCCTTTTCCAAAACCCTTGAGGGTAGATGAGTTTCAAGATTCAGAATTTTTCAGACTTTAGAAATGCGCCAGTCCCTATTCTGCATGTTAAGTGATACCTGCACTGGTGCAGTCAGTAGCCTCTAGTTGCTAACATTAACTGTGACAAATAAAAACATAAACAGCATAAATTTTACCACCAGACCAGTGCAAGTCATGTCAGATTTTGCAGACACATAAGCTGTGATAAGGGACTACAGACCAGTACTGAGTTACAACCTCTCTGGGCATTGAGCCTTCTCCCCCAGAGCTGGGCAGAGCTGGAACACAGAGGTGACAAAGACAGAAGACGTCTTGAGACTCACCTGCTCTGCCGATCCCATGCAGGTGGGCAGCAGTGGGATGACAGGAAACATATACTCCAGGGGGTAGATCATTGCCACAAATGCCATCACAGACATGGAGAGTGCGTTGTAGTCGCGGGACTGTAGCACCACCTGCCACAAGTCATAGGAATCACTCGACAGTGTAAGGTTTATGAGAATACAACTTCCAACACTACCGTTTGTTTCACCCTGCCTATGGCTCCAGGAGCGTAGTTGCCACAATTACACTGCTCTGTACCCCACCTTGCACCTCCCAATCCAAGCACTGTAGTTGTCCTCTCTCGAATCACTCCCTTTGTTCCTAGTTCTTGTACCCCCAATCCCAGGACCACTCTTTGGAATAGAACTACTGATATTTCCAGAGAATTAGATCAGTATAGTTAAAGATAATTCAGGTGAGTGGCAAGTCCACTGAATACATCCCACACGATACCAGCACCTTAATTCAACCCACATCTACTGAGTACCTACTCAGTAGATACCTGGCATCTTATTACCCCCTGGAGGTAAAGAGATGAAAAGGGTATAGTCCCTGTCCTCAAAGAGCTCATGGTCTAGCCTCTGCCATATTTCAAAGGTCTAGAAAGCTGGCCCTCTCACCTTGTGCTCTAACAGGATGCAGGTTAGCACCTGAAGGCAGGCATCCACACCCAGAAGTTCCAAGGGAAGGTGCAGTGGGAAATCCACCAGGGTGAATCGAGAGGGGTCAGGAAGAGCAAAGGTCAGAGCTTGCTGGAGCTCCTGGGGTAGGACCTCAATGTCTACTCGCTTCTGCCCAGAGACGGGCACTGGGGAGCGCAGCAATCGATAGATCCAGGCCTCAATCTCTCGAAGGTCATGCAGAAGGGCACCTGACTTCTCCTCCACCAGCAACGATCCAGTGAAGATGCGCCACATGGTGTCCCTGGGGGCAGAGAGCAGGAAACAGACACATGTGCACCAGGGGCTGATACCCCCCTGCAACCCACTATAACCATAAAGGGGATAATGATGACAACTGGAAAAGCCCACCCTTTGAGCTCAGCTAGGACCACAGGGTAGGGACAAGAGTGAGAGCAAGTATAAAAATGCACACATGGTGGGGCTCATTGTCCTGCCCACCATGAAACATCAAATTCCTCAGCACTGATCCAAACACAATTATGATAGGAGGTCTAACTCAGCAGCAGTCTTTTGCTTAGTAAGGACTAAGGTCTGATGGACTTCAGGCTTTAGAGAAATTTCCTATGCCCCTCACAGACCAATTATACCTCATCTCTAAAATGCTCCACCTCTCTCAGCACCAGCGGCAAACCATACCTTTGTATGCCTCGGGGGATGCCCAGTTTCTTGCCCAGCAGTCGCTCACTGCAGCAGTCCACCAGACGTTTGAGGGTGTACAGACACTCTCGGAAGGTGGAGAAGAAGGGGTAGTGGCTGATCACGCAGAGGGAAGTCAGAGTACTGTTGCGGGACCGGCTTCCCGCCTTGGCCCGGCGTTTTCCCCGAGGAGACTGGTTCACATCGGGGGTGGAGTCGGCACTGGGAGGCTGCAGGGACGAGCCACTCTCCGAACTCTCAGTGCCAACCTCTTCTGAGGCGCTGGGGGGCCGGGGGCCTTCCTTCCCACGGGACCCTGCCCCAGCTTCCCCCTTTTCCTTAGGCATTCGCTTCTGGAAGGAGCGGTAGAAGTTAACACAGATGCCATAACGCGTGACTCCGGTGTCCTTGTCGGTGAGGGTGAAGACAAAAGAGATATCATCCCGCAGGCTCATGCGCCGCTGCCGCACACTCAGGCAGCCCTCTGGCTGGCAGAAGAACACGACATCTGGGGGCAGGGGAAACTCAGGGTGATCCTCTAACGGGTATCGCCGAAGCAATTCAGGGGTCTGGGCCACACTGTCACTGCTCGGGTGCCTGAAGAACAGAAAGACCAACTCAGCAGCCTGAGGAATAGGATGCGCGATCAGAGTTTACCGCGGTCTACAAATAAAGTTCATCACGCTATACTGGATCACGTAACTAACTGCAAGACCTTGGCTGCATTTAGCCGGTAGGCTAGACGAGGCCGGCACTGTCATGAAGACACCTATCCCGAACTGAGAGAAAAACTTCAACAATTAAATGATCACTCACACCTTTTCAAGGTATAATAGCCAATGACAGAGCATACTAGTATGTCGGCAGAGAAGGAGCACAATGTACCTTCCCTTTTTACCAAACAAGGAAAGTGGGTACACAGAGCACATTTGCTCAAGAACAGAAAGATGCTAGTTAAGAGGAGTTTTGCTCCAACTCTGTTCCTCCAGGCCTCTACTCTCAATCCACCTGACTGTGTTGTTTTCCCAGAGGCATCAATGCTCCCATCAGAGTAAAACAGTGGGATAAGAATAAGATATGCAAACCAACATGGAAATGGAAAGGGGAAGGATTCTGTGGCTATCCCAGATGACAAGACAAAAATTATTCTCTTTTTGGTTACCTGGCGCCTACAATCACTAGGTAGTCAAGTAACCGAGGACAGAACTTCTTCTTTTGCACCATGGCTCCAGTTCATCAGTTCATCTCGGAGAAACTTCAAGGCACCAAGCAAGGAGTCAGCATTCCCAGGGGGAATTCTGTTATTATCTGAAAATCCAAGGCTAATAGGAAGAAAGTACTGGTAAGATCCATTGCTGTGTCTAAGGAACTCAGCCCTGCTAGCTTCATCTCAGCCAGAGGCATAGGTAAGGTCTTCCATTCAGCACTAAAGATAAAGGAACCCGACACTTTTCCCAGCCTAGAGTTCAGCCTAGGCTTATGAGCTCACGGAATCAAATGAGAAGGATAAATAATGGCCCATCTCCCCATCCCTACAAACAAGTTCATTCTCAGCCTTGCCCCTGGCTCTCTGTTTTTGAAAAACAGAACCAGTTAGTCTAATCTGGACTCAATCATTATGGTAACAAAAATTAACTCATTTGCAGGACTGCTCCAGGGGGGATCCAGGATCAAACCAGACTCTCTAATCAGCACTCTGTACTCAGAGCTCTAGATCAGTGGTTCTCAACCTTCCTAATGCCTCGACCCTTTAATACAGTTCCTCATGTTGTGGTGACCCCCAATTTCATTGTTACAAATTGAACATAATTAAAGCATAGTGATTAATCACAAAAACAATAGGTAATTATATATGTGTTTTCCGATGGTCTTAGGCGACCCCTGTGAAAGGGTCGTTCGACCCCCAAAGGGGTCGCGACCCTCAGGGTGAGAACCGCTGCTCTAGATGGAAATCCATTTATTCTGTTCCAATATTCTGCATTCAGCTTGATATGAAACTAGTATATATAGTGTATAGTTCATTGTTCTCAGACAATAACAAAAGCTGGGTGTTCTACTCTGTGCAATTTCAAATGGAGAATATCTATGTTCCAATTCCTTGTCTAGATCAGTTTTCTTCCCTCTTCAAGCAAAAAAGGGACCCAGTGGCTATTGCTACTGGCTCTGCCCTTGGTGCTGAATCACAGTCTTTCTACTCTATTTTGGTCCAAGGACTGGAATCAGTAATACAATACACACAGGTGAGGCCTTGTCCTATATCTTACAGAGTCTAGGAATTAGATGCAGAAATAACAGGATTTCTGCAAGGACAGGGAGAGGTGCTCAGAGGACTTTCTAAACCATAGTCCTAAAGTCAGGAAAAGCTTACAGGGTCTTAATTATAATTCATTTCCTGCTGAGTCTCCATATACTGCTGTAATAAAATGTTTACCTCTACCTCAAGGTTATTTCCAGTGCTTCCAGAAGTCCACCTCTGTGCTCTGTACATAGCCACGCTAGGACCGTGTTCACTGCACACACACAGAGAATCCCATTACACTACACACACTCACACACCAGTCCCCGTTTTGCGGCTGCATGCACTACTATACACACAGACATCCACACTTCCTGTATGCTTAAGGTACTCTTGATACAGATAATGAGAAGTTCTACCTCCCCCCCTTACTTAATAATAAAAGAGACCACCCCAGCTGTTTTGGCTCAGTGGAGAGAGCGTCGGCCTGCGGACTGAAGGGTCCTGGGCTTGATTCTGATCAAGGGCACATGCTCTGTTGCGGGCTTGATCCCCAGCAGGGGGCGTGCAGGAGGCAGTGGTTCAATGATTCTCACTCATCATTGATGTTTCTCCCTCTAGCTCCCTCTCCCCTCCTCTCTGAAATCAATAAAAATATATTTTTAAAATAAATAAAAGTTTATTTTAAAAAAAAAATATTTTTTTAAATAAGAGACCTATTTGCAACATCTCTCAAATCCTCAAAATATGGCTCCCTCCTTTCCCTTGCTCCCAATAGAGGACCAGCAGGTAATAGGATTTAGTTTCATCTCCATAGTGACTGACTCCCAGGACTATTTATAGCAGAGCCACAGCCCCTCCCCTGCCTGGTGACCTCACAGTGCTAGCAGCTGCTACTCCAGCATCGGCCAGGGCCCATACAATTCACTCTCCTTGAATTTGGAGACACCTCTTCCTCTGACAGCACCTGCTAATTATTATGTTATCTTCTTTGGTTTGCACTTTGTCCTAATTCTGGAGTTTGACAGAACTATCTCCTTTCCACACAACCATAACCAAGTTTCCAAGCACGCCATACACTCATTTCTAGGCATCACTGCCACCCAGAAGGTCCTCTGGTTCCCTCCTCTGCTATGGAGCCATGAGCATACTGCAGAAGGTGGGGCGCTGTTACACAGCTTAACTGAGCTCCTCCCAACCAGAATGAGAAGGGGAGAGGAGCAGAAATGAAATGGGAGGTGTGTAAAAGCATAATTCATTCTAGAAGAATTATGTGGATAATGCCTAGGGTGAGACCCAAAGTATAGTAAGTCTTCATTCACTTAATGCCATCAGGTTCTGCAACTTTAAGTGAAACAGTATATAACGAAACCAATTTTGCCATAGGCTAACTGACATAAACAAGAGTTAAGTTCCTATGGCACCTCATCAGCATTATAACTAAACAATGTTGAGCAAAATGACATTATTTGAGGACCTGCTGTGTCTTAAAATAAAACAGAATTTATAGGACCAGATCTCAAGGCTAGGCCTTGAAATCTATATTTACATTAAAAGCTGGGAACCCTTTCCTGCCCAAATCTCAAAGATCACACCTGAAGCATCTTCTATTAAAATACTAGGCATCTAGCCTTAGTGGGATCCCAGTCCCTCGCCATGGAGAAGCATTTGCTTAAAAGCAAGTGATTACACTCTACAGTGCTCATCTCCCTCCCACAAGGACTCCTGTGACTATTCTAGTTACTAGCAGTAGGATAGATTCCTATCTCATCAACAGCCACTGCTTTTGGTTATTCAGACTGCAGAGATAACAAAGGCTTTTCTTCCCATTCTCACCCCTCCTCACAAATCCTCTACCACCACCTGTAACTCACTCTCTGTCTTCATGCCCACCCAAGCTCAGACTCTGCCTCCTGCCTCAACCACATTTACTAACAGGGAGCCCCTGGTTCCTAGGTCCTATATTCCAAAGGCATCAAGCTCAAAATGCATACTTATCTGCTGAAGGCCTACATCACCTTCCACTCCACCCAGATGCAGATTTGGAACCCACAGACGTTTCTTTAGGTTATTGAGGTCTTTTCCGCAAATGGCCTCGTTAACCAACCCTTTGGATTCGTCCCTCTTCGGGGGTAAAATGTCATAGTAAAACCACAGGAACCGGAGAGCGATATGACATCTTTGCTGACGTGAGCACAAGAGGCTCTCTCACCTCCTCCTCCTCCTCCCCAGGAAGTGACCTTGCAAGCACATCAACACAGACTGGTCCAGCATGGGGGAGCACAGAGCAACGAGGCAGGCAATAGGCGGGTTGGGGAGGAGGAGAGCAGAGAGAGGAGGAAGAATTTAGGATGCACGAGGCTGGGGAGGGAAGCTGTTGCATGAAAGATCACACGGTGTCTCCACCCTCTAATAAGCCAATTTTGAAAACGCCAAATTAAAAAAAAATGGTAAAGAACCGAATGTGGTTCTTCAAACCCTAACAAAAAATAAGGCGCACAGCACACGCGCACACACATACACACGCACACACACACACGCGCGCGCACACACACACACACACACGCACACATGCACACGCACACGCACACGCACGCGCCAGGTGCCAATCCCGGGCCGGCCTCGGGCTGGACAGCTCTGTCCACCCCCTCACCTGCTGGACAGATCTCCCCGCCTCCGCCGGAACCAGGGCCACCCGCCAGTCCGGGAAGAATCGAGCCCAGAGCCGCAGGCTGCGCCCAGGCAGCAGCCCGCACCCCCTCGGCGGCTCGAAGCGCCCCCACGTCAAGCCCGGCCCTTCCGGTGCGGACCCCTTCCTCGCTCTCGAGACCCCTCGCGCCCTGACGTTCCTTGAAGGGCCGCCCGAGACCCCGCCCCCTAGACCCTTGCTCCTCTCGGAGCCGTTTCCCCCTGGGAGCCCCGTCCCAGATACCCTTCCAGGGCCCCCGGCGGCGCCGACCTCCTACCTCCCGAGCTGCGGGGGACCGGCCGGCCGGGCTGGACGACCCCCGGTCGCAGAGCGTCAGTCGCTCCCGGCGCCAGTTCCGCGTGAGGGAGGGGAAGCGAGGGGGCGAAGGGGGCGGGGGCCCTACCATTCACCCCCGCGGGGGACAGGGCGGCACCTAGCCGAGCGCAGAAGGGCGGAGCCGACCTCGGGAGAAGGCGGCTACGCACACACCTATGCGAGTGGGAGTGGAAACGCGATGGGGAGCGCAGGGCCAGCCTAGCACCACTGACTGCCAAGGGGGAACCCACAGAAATACCTTTTGTGTCCCCTGCGCAGAGATTTTAATTCGGCATGGTAGCAGAGCGCACCCCGACGAAATGCGGGTTGAGCGGGAAGCTACTTCTCAGGACGAACTGCTCCTGACACTTCTGACCGTCCCCTCCGTCGCCCTCCCCTCTCCCTCCCCGCACTCGGCTTGGACGTGCCCAGCCGCCGAGTCTGGAAAGCGGCAGCGCGGCGGTGGAGCCTACCACTTCACGGCGGCGGGGGGGACCGAGGCCGGAAGGCGCGGCGCCGTGCCACAGACACCGGGTGAGCGCCAAGGGAAGGGGGCGTGAGCGGTGCCGCGGTGCTCGCTGGGAAATGGAGTCCAGTCCCCCGGAGAGGCTCAACCCCAGGCTGGGCAGCCCCCCCAGCTCCCCGCCTCAGGGGACTTTTCTTCCTGGCCCGTAATGTGGGGGCCGAGAGGAAGGGGGATTGATGTGCCCGCGCCCACAGAACACAGGTGCCTAGCTGAGGCGCTAGTTCTGAAAGTCCAACACCCCCTTCCCTACAGAAGGCAGGATCCCCTCCCCGCTCCCATCATGACAGGGGAAGTGGTCTCAGCGTTTCATTTACCCTCGGGGCGCAATGGGGCTAGTGAAAGGAGGCTGGCACTGGGGACTTGTCTCCCTGTAATTCTGGAGGCGATCCTAAAAGACACTGCAGGCTTCCCTCCTCTGTTGCCGCTCCTCCACCCCAATCCAGAAATTGTTTCTCTCATTCCGTATTCATTTTTGTCTTCTTGTACAAACAGTACCAGGCCGACTATCAGGGAGGCAGCCCGGAGGCATTTATGGTCAAGCCGCAGCGTGACAGTGAGAATTTCTCTAGGGGCCCTGTGGGGAAAACAGGAAGTGGTGGAGGCAGGAGAGGCAGGGCCTGGAGAACCTTGTGCAAAGTGGCCCCCAGGTTCATCCTTTTGATCAGGCCAGTACAGTGTTCAAATGGAGCACAGCTTTGGCAGGACCCTCAGTGCCCAGCAGTCACAAAACTCCCAACCCGTTACTCTCCTTTAATGCCACGTGAAGATCTCTTTTGCACAGCGCCCAGGAATGTTTGCCCTTCTCAGTCTGTTCCACCTCTAGGAGGCCGCCAGCGGGACCTCAGCCAGCCAGGCCTCAGCCAGCCGAGGACAGTCATTCGTGCACATCCCAGATCTCAGAGAGCAGCGGGGGAAGCTTTTTGTCCTGCAGGCGCAGCGCAAACACTTGCTCTGAGTGGACGCTGCTCAGTGTCCGGAGGCTCACCAGCTTCATTAGCATCCGTGGGAACATTAGTGGGTCCTGGGGAAGGAGAAGGACAAGTTCAGACTTTGTCTCTCCTCAGGGAAGAGGGCAAGGGGAGGGGAACTGTGGGAGAGGTATAATCAGAGAGGGATTCTTGAAGGGAAAGTAGGTGTGTCAGGGAAGGAGCCTGTGTTGAGGAGAAAGGGCACCTAGGGGAGACTCACATGGGGGTGGTGGATGGAGACATAGGCATGCAGGGCCTCCACATATGTGTGTTGCAGCCTCTCTACCTGGAGCTGATCCTGCACGTTGGGCCGGTCTATATTCACAAACAGAGTTGAGGAGCAAGTCTGGCCAGGGTCAGTTCTATACCCCACGTCACAACCAAAAATAGGAACATGTCCCACCCAACCTCTCCCATCCCAAAGTAACAGCAAGGGCCTCCACCCTTACAATGCCTGCCCTACGGGGCCTGCAGCCCTCCTAGGGCTTGCTCATTTTCAAGTCTCTTGCTCATTTTCCCTCTTGCCCATCCTCCACACCTGCAGAAAAGATGCTGATGGCAATGAGCAAGGCAAACTCGGCATCATTGAGCTGCAACTCATTCATGGCTCTGGAAAACTCGAAGATGGGGTTGATGAACTCCACTTGCAGTCCTGGGGAAGAAGGAGGGAGGCTGAGTGTGTGGCAGGAGTGGCAGGAACTTCCTTCTCTCCTCCAACTCCGCAACTTAGAGAACTTCTAGGAACTCAATAAGAAGTATCCAGGGCTCTGCTCTGTAACCTTGGGCAAGTTTATTCACCTCTCTAAGCCTCATCTATGAGATGGGAATCATATCTGAATTTATAAGACTACTGTGATGGTTAAATGATAAAGCATGCACAGCACTTAACACTGTGCCTGGAACATAGGATGTGTGGATTGAATGATAATAATAATTCTGTTATTCGTATTAAAATTATTGAGGGCCCCATTACTAGATATAGAAGCAACTCATTTCTGTTTATAAAGAAACCTCACTGGCAATTGGCCTTACTTATTTGAATACTAGAGATACATTTTGTGTTTCATATCTTGGGGGAACTTAGCAATGTGGTTGAGGGTACAGACTGTGGTGCCAGACTGCCTGGGTTTGAGTCCTGGCTCTACCATTTACTAGGCTGAGCCTTGGTTTTCCCATCTGTAAAATGGAGATAATAGCACCTATCATAATTGGTCCTTAGAATAATGTGTGGCACATATGGTAACTACTATATATATAAATAGTAAATTTATAAATATAGAACCAATCTTCTTGATGGGACTGAAGTTCAACAAACCATGACCTAAAGTCATGGCATCTAAAAAACACTTCTCCCATACACACTGTCAAAGTCTCCCACCCCACACCCTCCTCCAGGCTTTCTCAGATTTCTTTTAGCAACCATCTGCTAACTTTTCCATTCGAGGTTTCTTGATTAGTCACTTCCTGTATTTTCACCCTGATGTTTATCAATGTGTGTTGATACATTTAATGGACAAACCCCATTTTATAAAGTATTTGTTGCTGAGGTATTGAGTGAGCCTTGAATTGTGCTAAACAGTCTGTTTGTACAGAGAGGGCAAGTAGGTTTTAGAGTTGGGTTATGCACCCTGGAAGGGTCTGTCTGCTACTGCTCGCTGAATGAATGCCCCCAATGGCATCAGTCCACATCATCAGTCATGTAGAGAGGGAAGGAGACCCTGTTCCCTCTCCCTGAGACCTCACTGACAAAATGACAAACAAAAGGCAAAGATAATATCAAAACTGCTTATATAAATGAATCTATAAATAGGTACAGATTCAGATGACATAAGCCTGAAAGTGCTGAAGAAACACACACATAAGAACTGGTAAGGGTTCAGAAAGGAGGATGCTACGAAGGAGAAGGCCATGGTTAAGAAGGACTGGGAAAATAACCACTTGGGGAAAGGTGGTTGGCTAGAGAAAGGGGGTAGGGCTGGGTTTTGAAGATGGAAAAAGTCATGAAATTTCCCAGACATTCTGGCAGCACACAGTAGGCAAAAGGTGCTAACACAGCCCTACCGTGCCCTATAGTTAAGAGAGGCCTTCCTAGGCATGTCACTGGGTAGCCTGGGTTGGGATAAGAGGCACATGAGGTGAGTACCAGACAGCATCAGCCATATTTTAAACTCACTCACTCCATTGTTAGACTACTAGGTCACCTATTGAGCCTCAGCTCCAGTCCCTCCAAAACACCCTTAGCCTTTCATCCTTTGCTAACTCTGCTCCCATAACACAAACAGTACCAGCAATTGAGTATGAGGAAACCAACACTGCTTAGCCTGCAAGCATCAGATAGAGAGCAGCAATGGGAACAAATTCTTGGAGAAAACACTTCAAGTACAGGGTGGGGACAGAAGCATCCATTCTGATCTTAAAGCTGCATCATTTGGACATGTTTGTTATGTATCAGCTCCAGTTTCATGGCTCTTCAGAACAAGTGAAGAAGAGTAGGGGGAAGCAGGTCCACGTGATCCTTAAAGAACACATCTGAGAAATTCTTGCTCATTATTGACTACTAAAGGGCTCGGTATGGTTGTTTTCAAGCCTTTCCCTCGTTATGAAATCTTTCCTTGAAGCACATTATGTAGAAGCATGATATATAATGCAGATTTACATGGAGCTTCTTGTTTGGCTCCATTTAAAGTAAGAATGAGAGACATTCCTGTGCCTTCTTGTTTCTTCTCTAAAGTGACACTTCTGTGGAACCCCTCCCTTGGGTTCCTGGGAACACAGTTCGAGAACCGCTGGCCTAAGGCAACAGAGGACAGGAGTCCATTTGAGACAGTTGAAAGAGACCTATAAGCATTCCAACTCTCTGTCTTGGAAAAACAGGTGAAGCCTTCCCTTTACAGACACCCAAACATTGGGCCTGTGACTCTGGAGTCACTATGGGCTCCAGGACAAAAAGTTCCTGTCCATCCAAACCAGTCCCTTTGTTATCTCAGGTCTCACCTGCTTTAGCAAAGTCTTCCCGGTTATAACTGAAATCCTTGAGGAAGGTGATACTCTCACTCTCAGGGTTGTACCTCCGAGATGTCTCCAGAAGCATCACCTGCACACAAGTAGCAGACCTCAAACAGGGACTCGGCGGGCTGGTCCTGGCAATGGGGCACCTTCAATGGAAGGTCCCTACTTCCCAGTGGTGGCTCTGGCTTCCCAGCTGGCTGTCTAGAGGCCCTTCCCACGGACAGTCCCGCTCGGGCTCTCCCTGCACCCCTCAGCCCTGCCAGCCACCTCAATAGTGGAGGTCTTCAGCAGGGCGATCTGGTCCTCCCGGCTGAGCTGCAAGAAGCCGGGCAGCTGTTTGGCAAAATCAACGATCTCCTGCACAGAGACGATGGCCAGCTCAGTGAAGTGGGCAAAGCGCTGCTGACGGGCCTCCCAGCTCTGGGGATCTGGTGCCATGGGCCAAGGCTACCCAGAAGGGCAAGGAGGGGAAAAACAAACCGCTCTGAGTCAGATATCAAGAAGCCAGCTGGCGCTCTGGGTATAGCCACCTCTCCCCAGGTCCCTCAGGTACCGTGACGCGAAGCTGGTCAGAAAAGGAGCGTCTGTTACACTGTTGCTGGGCAGCCACTAGCTTCTCAATCATACCCAGTTGCTCTGGGCTGAGTTGGGGCAGGACTTGGGGAGGTGAGGATGCTCTTGGGGGCACGGATGTGGCCTGAGCCTGTTCCTCCTCTTGCCGCTTCAGTTTCTTCAGTCGGATCTGTTCTTCTGACAGGACACCTAAGGACCGGCCAGATGAGAGGAGGGAAGAGGAGGGGGAGATGAGAAGCAAGGAAGGGCCAGAGGGGTAGTTTAAGGTTCCAGAAAAGCAGAGATCACAGGGTAAAAGCAAGGAAGAAATTTTAATCCATATTTAGGGACCATATAGGAAGGTCCTGTAGGCTCAGCTGCCTGTCTGCCCTCACACCCTGGCACCCACATGCCCCCTCTTTCCCATCAGCCCCTTCCCCATTCCTGTCCCCAGGTACTCACACTCCTCCCGCATGCCAGCTTGGCGGCATTTGCGAAGGCGACACTCCTGGCACTTGCGACGCATATAGGTGTCCATGGGGCAGTGGCCCCCGCTGTGGCAGATGTAGCGCGCCCCTTTGATGACACTGCGGCGGAAGAATCCCTTGCAGCCCTCACAGCTCAGCACGTTGTAGTGGAAGCCAGAGGCCTTGTCCCCACACACACTGCACAGCTCATTCCCCAGCATTTTGGGGGCTGGCCCCTTTTTCCGCTTTTGTGGACGGAGCTCTGGATACAGGGAAGTGCCTTAATGTTCTTCTCTAAGAAACAAGCTTGGTGCCCAGCTGGCCACTGCCCTGAGCACTCAGTGACCTTCATGCCCCTTTTAACATGCAGTCTATCTAGTCCAGCCATGAGCAAACTACGGCCCGCGGGCCGGATCCGCCCGTTTGAAATGAATAAAACTAAAAAAAAAAAAAAAGACCGTACCCTTTTATGTAATTATGTTTACTTTGAATTTATATTAGTTCACACAAACACTCCATCCATGCTTTTGTTCTGGCCCTCCGGTCCAGTTTAAGAACCCATTGTGGCCCTCGAGTCAAAAAGTTTGCCCACCCCTGATCTAGTCACTCTATTATAAGAAAGTACCTCTCATGTCCCAAGTGCTATGTATTATGTCCCAGGTACTGTCTTAGCCCTTTATATGCATTGATCCTGATGACATCCAAAAGAGATAGCTACTGTTATTATTTCCATTTGCTGAATAAGGAAACTGAGGCTCAGAAAGGCCTAAGGTAGAGACAAAACTCACAGATCACTCAGGTCTAGTCGACACTTAAAGCTCTGGTACTTAAACATGATTTTATATGATACAGAGCCCCAAGATGCCCCTTCCAGATCCAGGGAGCCCCTACATCCTCCCAATCCAGCAGCTCCTCACCTGTAGACTCTGGAAAGACTTCCACTCCTGGGAGCAGGGCTGTGGGATCTGCCACCTCCAACCCTGCCCCCGAAGTGCCCCCCGCTGATTGGGGCATGCTGGCTTCTTCCCTGAGGATGCAGTTGCTGCCTCTCAGCGCCCGCTGGCTGTTTGCATCTTGTGCATCTGGTTCCCACAGCTCCACTGCAGAGTCTGAGTCAGGAAAGAGGAACAAGGGGAGGATGAGGGGGGAAGTCTCAGGTCCTCCCCCTCCACTTCCACTGCATCCTGGCTGGGAAACGGCAAACTTATCTCCACCCATAGAGGGCAGCAAAACATCAGCTCAGGCTTCAGGCCCTGGCGTTTGTGTGGGCTCCAGGGCTAGTCTTGCAATTCCCTGCACCTCAATACTTTACATGAGGATGTTAACCCTTGTCCCCTTGGGGGCCGGCATGCATCTATTTCAGAGATCAGACAGAACTCTTAATTAAAAGTCAAACTGGATGAGCACTGTACATGCCCTCTCCCCAGCAGCAAGTCCAGACAGAAGGATCGGCAGGTGCCTGCAAGGGCCAGGCACCAGAACCAGGATGAAGGTAGTGTGGGCAGAAGGAGGCAAGGATGTCTCTAGACTGCTCTCTGGGGGAAGGCAGAAGGCAGGTAGTGAAGAGACCCTGACTGAGGGGAGAGGGCTGGAGTCAAGCAGCTTACCAGGAGAAACATTAGGCACAGGGGCCTCCAGCCACAAGGACATTTCTTTCTCTCTCCGGAGCCCTGGACATTACCAAGGGACTGTCCTGCAGGAACAAGTCAGGTTATACTCTTCCAGAACCAGGCTCCTTCTTTATCAGTGCAGCATATTAGCCAACAGTTACTTGATCTGCATCAGCCTGTGCTAAGGCTTTACATGCCTTGCTCACTGTGTCCCTCTGAGGTCAGGACTATTCTTTAGCCCATTTTACAGATGAGAAAACGGAGTTTCAAAGGGATGAAGTAAATTGCCTTTGGCCACACAGTTAGGCAGCAAAGACTCCACCTCTGATCTCTCTGACTCCAAAGTCTGAGCTCTCAGCCACCATGCCACTTTTTCTCCCCAGGGCCCACCTCCTGGCCATCAGGGAATATTGGGGCACATCTGCTCTGGTTGTATTAAAGCCCCTTCCCCTCACTCCAGCACTGGGGCAGCCAAAGTTGGGCAGGACCAGGACATGGGATGGAGGCTCCACCCAGTGAAACATGCTGCTTGCTGAATAACCTCACTCCTGCCACTTCCCAGGATCCCAGCACAAACCTGTTGCCTCCGAGAGTCGCCCCAATTCACATACAGGACCTCCTCCCTCACAGCCCCTCAGGGGTTATTCTGGGACTAAATGGGATCCTGCCCAAGCTTCCATCACTATCATCATCCTTCACTTTTCCCCAAAGAGACCCCTTTCTAAGATCCACAGGACCCCCACTCCTCACCCGCACGCACCAAACACACACAGGGCCCCAGGCAAGTGCTGAGGAGCCGACCCACCGAATGCCTGGGCCGTCAGACTTCCTGGCTGGGGCAGTCTCTGGAGCCCCCTTGCTGAGAGAGGAGGACGGTGCAAGCTCTGTCCAGAGGCCTCCGCGGTGGC